AGGACTTAGGCATCAGTATTTTTTTAAAAAGATATGTAGGTAATTTTAATGTGCAATTAAGGATTAGAAACCACTGAGTTAGAAGCAGCTCTAAATCAGTGATTACTATCGCACAATCATTCCTCCTATTAGAATGTCATAAAGAAAAAAGAGCAATCTATGTAGGCAAATTCTATAATCTTCCAAGGCCCTTATCCACCTTCCAGAGTGGAAATCAACAAGTTGTTGCTAAGAATATAAGAAATGTAAATCTAAATTACTTGCTGTGTGATTCTCCCTATGATGAAACAGAATGTGCTGAGCAAATACACACACACACACACACACACACACGATCAGACTTGTCCCTGGGCAAAACTGTCAAGTAGTTTCAATCTGATTTTGATACCTTATGTATACAAAGACAAAGGGTAAAGGGGCACATTTGAACAGTGACAGATGGCAACTAAACTTTCGGCAGTGAGAAAAAATTTTTAAATCTCTCATTTGTTTTCTACTAAAAATTTCAAAAATTAGCATTAACTTTGACCAATAATCCATGTACACATTTCATATCAAGAATGACTTTTTGGTGTTGTGAATGGTTATTCGTTGCCAAATAAGTTTTAAAACGGTCGTCTAAGGACAAGGAGCGTCCCAAAGTAAACAATACATGGAGTGATAATACATGGGAGCTAAGTGTTACTATAGAAATTGCATTCTTGAACTACACACTGCTAGGCCACTGGCCTAAATGCACTAGTTTCACAGGACTATTAGCAACCATCAATCATCATATTGCTAAATTGGTGTACAAACCACACAGAAATTATATATCTGAAATTAGATTGTATATCCAATCTAATCATGCCAAGTCCATACCATGAGGCCCGTTTGTTACTTTACATGAATTTATGTGCTTGACACACATGGAAGGTATAACCAGAGAAAATAAAAAGTGTTTTAGAACCAAAGACCAAACTGACCACACTTTTAGCTAACTATTAATTACACTAGACTCTGCTAGCTCAAGCCTTAGGTTCAGAAAGCCAAAGTGAAGGCTCCCATTTATGGAAGTTTAGCCCACGTGGCCATGAAACAGGTCTAAACAAAGCTTAAATTTGCTTAACGAGTTCCATGTTTGAGGAAAGAAGGGACTTTATTGTGTGTGTGAAACTCTGTGACAGACTTCAGATATTGGTTCAAAGGTGCTAGTCACATAATAAATAAAAGGCTTTGAAGAATCAAATCAGCCAATAAAATTCCAGTCTAGCACCCAGTCTGGTCACTCTCTGGGATTTGGCCAAAGCAGATATGCTGACAGCCTCTACGCCTTACAAAATATGTGGAGGGGAAGGCAAATGTCCACCTTAATCAAACTGCAATCAGCAATTACAGCTGCAGTGATGGTTGTAAGCAGAGATCCAACAGCTGAAGTGCTTCTATCTTGCTCCAAAGTAGTGATGGGAGGAAGATCAAGATTAGGGAAGCCAGGCAGCTGGGGTGAGAAGCACAATTTGATATGGTAGATTAGGGTAACCAGAACATCCCATTCATCAGGTCCTCCTTCTAGCTGAGATTAGAGACTCCGATCAGCGAGAACATTCAGTATATTGGACTGTGACTTTACAAAAATTGGTACAACTGGACCAAGCGATGAACAAACCTCCTGAAGGCCATAGGAACCAAACACAATAGGCTTGTTTAACATGCCTACCAATAATATTTTCCTGAATTTCTTTGAATTTGTCCCCTTGAGTTTAATAGTCTTGATTTCTCTTGAACGCTATTGAAGACCAAAAAAATTGTAATCAAAAAGGGAACTCAGTAGTATATATCCTCTTTCCATTTTTAGATATACAATAATTGGCTGTCTTCTCTTGTTTTAAATAGTATTTATCATCAATTTTTGATAGGCATGTGCTAAACTGACTTGTAATCACATATCAGGTGTAACCTTCTGTAAGAAAAAAAATAAAATTTTAAACTTGTAAAACAGGTGAAAGTGATTATTCCAAATACTAAAACTTATTATTTCCTTTATTAAAGGCTTCACAAAGGATTCCTTTTACTAATGATCTCCCCTGGGGCATTTAGAATTAATTCTACTTACACTTGTCTTACATTTCACTTTGAATACCACCTACAGATTTTCAAACTGTCCCCCAAATCTGCTCCTACCAACCACTTCATCAAGTGGAATTATTAACATTTGTATTCTAAAGTAAGCTTAATAAAATGCTTCAATTATAACTCAATTATTTTTAACTCGCCATACCTTATACTTCTTTGTCAAAAGATGTCTCCAAAACATTTTCCAAAATATGATCTCTTGCCACAATAAAGAACGAGTGTGGTTACTCTATAGCAGGAAAAAAAAAGTTGTTTTTTTTTTATGTGTGCTAGAAGCCAGAATCTTTCACTTGGTATTGTCAGTCTTTCTAATTTTGGCTATTCTAGTCCCCCCAGAATGGTATCTCATCGCAGTTTTGTTTTTCTTTTTTAAATCATTTTTCCAGCTTTTTCCTGAGTGAAAACTGCATACAATAAAATTCATCCATTTCAAAGAGAAAATTTTATTTTTAGCAATTTGTATACAGAACAAACAACAATCAAGGTATAGAACTTAGCCATTTTCCCAAGAAGTTTCCTCATGTCCTCTGATCTCATCTCCTGACCCTGGCCTCAAGACAATCACTGATCTTCCTTGTCTCACTATAGTTTTGCCTCTACTTGTGGCTTCAATTTGCCTTCCCATGACAACCAATGACCTTGAGTATCTTTTCATATGTATACTGACCACTGCCTATATCTTCCTTAGTGAAGCATCTATTCAAGTATTTTACCAGATTTTTATTGGGTTGGCTGTGTTCTCAGAATTTTAAGAGTTTCTTATATATTAAAGTCCTTTGTCTGATTTCATGTATTGCAGTATTTTTTCCCAGTCAGTGGCTTGTATGCAATGTATTGTTTTTCTCAAGATTTTGCTGATGTTTCTGCTTTTAAAATTTTCTCTTTATTGTTGGTTTTCAGTAGTTTGATTTTCCTAGGTGTAGTGTTCTTTGGATTTATCTTAATTGGCGTTTACAGAGCTTCAGTCAATGATTCTTCATAAAACTTGTAAAATATTTGGCCGTTATTTCTTCAAATATATCTTTCTGCCCTATTTTCATTCTTTTATTCTCTTGGATCTCTAATTACATGTGGGTTAATCCATTTGATATTGTTCCATAGGACTCTGAGGCTCTGTTCTTCTTTCCTCAAACTCCTGTCTTTTCTTCAGATTGGTTAATTTGATTGGTTTTCAAATTCACTGACACTTTCTTCTGACATCTCTAACCTGCTACTAAATCTATCCAGTACATTTTTCATTTCATTTATCTTACTATTCTGTTGTAACAATTCCATTTGATTTTCTTTATACTTTCCATTTCTCTGCCAAGATTCCCTGTCTTCACTCATCAAGATGAAATTTCCTTTAAATCCTTGAACAGGCACATAATAGCTGTTTGAAAGTTTTTGCAAAACTCAACATTTGGGCCATGTCAAGGTTTGTTTTTCTTGACTGCTTTTTTGTTCTTTACCATGGGACTCATTTTCCTGTTTCTTTTCATATGCAGTAATATTTTTTACTGTATATCATACATTATAAAAGAAAGATATGTTGCAGAGAATCCTTGTTGTATCTTCCTCTGAAGGGTGTTGATTTTTGTTCCAGTAGGCAGTTTGATTACTGACTGATTACTTTCAACTTAACGTAGGCTTGGTTTTATGCTTTGTTAGTATGAATCTGTGGAAAGCCCAAGGTGTTTTTCAAGCCTTCTAATTTGGTAAACTGTCTCCCTTGTGGATCTTGTTGAGGCTTGATTTCAGTCTATATTCTGGGATGTGGAAACTTGTTTATAGTATGACAGCTGAAATAAGAGGGCAGTGTCACCTTGTTCAACTTTAACTGGGAACATGTGTGTTGGGGACTAATTTTTTGCCACTCTGTGCATGTCTGAGAATGACTACATAAGTGCCTACAGTTCTGATTTTGGGGTTACAAATAAATTTTAGCAAGTAAGCAAATTTGCAAATATGGAATCTGCGAATAATGAGGATCATCTGTACATATAGTTTTTAGCATAATGAAACCAGGTAACATAATAAAAACATTTTAGTGCGTAAACAGGTTAAGTTTTAAATTAGCTATTTTGATGGAAATTTTCCCTAAACATGGTCTAAGTGTCTCCTAAATAAGACACCAAAGATAACTTTTGTCCTGACTCAGGGTTATCATTACAATAAAGTAAACAATGCTAAAACCCAAAGAAACTTTCAAGATTTTAGATGTATAAATGTATGCTCTTGGATTAAAAAGGCAACAATTCTCAAGGCATCTGCTTTGTTTTTTGCCTCTTATTGGTGTTTTTGTAAGCCAACGCTCAATATACCTGGGCTGTATGAGCTTGAGAAAGTAAACTTTATGGGTCTCAATTTTCTCATGCATAACATCAAGAAAGTGCATTTCTAAGGTCCCTCCAGGTCTAAAATTCCATCTTTTCTAGCTATCAGTGTCTTTTGGCCTCTAGATGCTATGTCCTCTTCCTTGCTAACTTTCTGTTTCTGATCTTCTGTGTCTCAGAAAAATCAAAAAGCCAACTCTATTTGATTATTAAGGATTAAAAGATATTTTGATTCAAGACTTGAGATCTTTTCTAAATTATGTGCATATGTGTTTTGGCAACTAGGAGACCTGTACATGCTTACTCGTTGGATCTTAGCTATAATCCAAAAAGATATGTAAAAATCTGTTGTATTTCCTAACAGATACGGTAAAAACAATTGATAAGACACTGTTAAATATAAGCAAACCAAATATCTGACCTATGACATCTATGTGTAGAAAAAAAATAACATCTTTCCTAAGATCCTCACTGATCGCATGCCTGGGATAATAGGAAAATACATACAGTTTGAAAAGAAGCTATTATAAAAAAAAGCCTTAGAAAAGTAGACGAGTAAATTTATGTTGACTTATATTCTTTATTGAATCAAAATTATACTATGTATAAAATAGCAATGTATATACAGAGAGATTTAATGCATCATATACAATTATCATTAAGGCCAGGATGCAAGTTACAATGATTATGACTATAAAATTTATATTAAAACATTCTCCGTAAGTGATTTATTTGGCTGTTTTAGTTCGAAGTCGTCGTTTGAGAATCTGATGATCACTTTCCTTCACTTTATCATCCATCAAAATCTGAAATTAACAATTTCACAATTTTTTTATAAATGAAAATAGAAATGAAAGCTTATTCATAATTAATAAAATATGTTCTTGTTGCTTAATAATTGAAATAGGTACATTATAATATTTTTTGTCCTTTTGGACTGCAGGTATACTATCTCATAAAATAGCATGTCTAGGGGGCCGGCCCCATGGCCTAGTGGTTAAGTTTGTGCGCTCCACTTTGGCGGCCCGGGTTCGTGGGTTTGGACCCGGGGCAAGGACCTACCCACTCTTCAGCCATGCTGTGGGGGCGACCCACATACAAAATAGAGGAAGACTGGCACAGTTGTTAGCTCAGGGTGAATCTTCCTCAAGCAAAAAAGAGGAAGATTGGCAACAGATGTTAGCTCAAGGTGAATCTTTTTCAGCAAAAAAACAACAACAAAAAAAGCATGCCTAAAATAATAGATTTTGTAACAGATTCTTTCAACACTACCTAATTCTAGAATTAAAATAATCTACACTCTGTATTGAATTCGGGATATATATAGCTTGAAATAATTACTGAAATATTTGCAGACAAATGTCTCAAGTAATTTTTAAGAAATGATCTTTCACAGCAACAAGTATAAAACTTAGAAAGCAGAGTATTGTTTTGCAACTAAGAAAAGAAATAATTTCAGCCAAGGGAGGAAATGATGTGCTAATCAGACAGATGGTGAAAAGTGACCAAGAAAATAATACTTCCAACTTCCTAATTCTTTACCACTTGCCTTCAAGTGTCTATCTTATATCTGATTGCTACTATTGCAAAAGGTCTCTCTGATTTTTCTTGGCCACTTCCTGCTGAAGGCTTTTCCTTTAATTACTTTTCTATCTTCACTTTCATCCACTAGGCAAATGCAAGCATGATAGAAAATTAGAACTTCCTCTGTAATAGCACAGTCTGTTCTGAGTGAGGAGAATGAGTCATAGAGTCAGGGTGACAAACTACAGTCTTTTCTCAATAGAACCTGGAAGGCTTAGAGGAAAGGTGGGAGGAAATGACTGAATGTCAATTCTATATTTTTACCAGGCATACTTAGGCCCAGATTTGTACAACTATCATGATAAAGATAATGAGAAAAACAGATGCTGGAAGCAAATAAATTACTAACTAGTAATAATTCTATTGATGGAATTAAAATTCCTCTGATGAGTTTACAAATGTAAATGCATATGACACTTATATACATTAACATAGCATATATATTTAATTACTGTAAATTTAATACATCTGATACCAAAAGCATAACAATGTAAACCATGTTTTAAGATTTGATCTAAAGAATAAAAATTCAAGCCATTCTAAAGTTCATATTGTTATGAATACTTCAGAATTAAAAAGAACAGGGACAGTTTTACTTTTAAGAAAACTGAAATAGTAGCTTACCACTTGGCCAGATATATCAATAGGAGATGAAATTTCACTTGTGTATAATTTCCGTTTGGCCCGTTTTGGTCGAGATACATTTTCTTTACTTATTTCTACATTTGAGAGCTTTGAAGAACTCATCGTTTCAATTATCTTCTTTGCTATGAAAAAAAAATATTAATTAAATCCTGAAATAAATAATTTTCTAACTGTAAAGGTTTGAAATTCTTAATAAAAAAAACATACCAAATTAAAAAGTAAAGCACTGCAATTTATAAATGGCAAAAGGACACTAATAGAAAATTCACAAAGAAAAAAATTAAATTCCTAATAAACACATGCAAAAAGGATCAACAGTAAAAACAAAAGAGCAGGGGCTGGCCCGGTGGTGCAGTGGTTAAGTTCGCGCACTCTGCTTTGGCAGCCTGGGGTTCGCAGGTTCAGATCCCAAGCGGGGATCTATGCACTGCTTATCAAGCCATGCTGCAGCAGCGTCCCATATAAACTAGAGGAAGATGGGCACGGATGTTAGCCCAGGGCCAGTCTTCCTCAGCAAAAAGAGGAAGATTGGCAACGGTTGTTAGCTCAGGGCTAATCTTCCTCACAAAAAAAAAGAGCACATAAATAAAATATCATTTGACTAATGTTCAACATAGTGAAAAGGTCTGGTAAATTATAGCACAACCATTAAAACTCAGGCATGTTTAATGGCTTGGAAGAGGTTTATGCTATTTTAAGGAAAAGAACAGGATACATATATAGTGGACCACGCAGCATTAAAAATAATAAGGCAGTAGATCTAGTTCAGTACTCACATGTAAGGATGTCCATAATGAATATTAAGTGAAAGTAGTTTGCAATTGTGAGCCCTTTACTTATAGTTCTCACACACACACACAAACACACACACACGTATAGTAGAAGATAGAAACCAAATTGTTAACAGTTGATTGCCTCTGGGAACTGGAATAGGAATTTTTTAATTTCTTACTGTGTACATTTTTATTTTCTTAACAGACACACATTGAGTTTAATAAAAAATACATTTCCATCTGAGAAAACTCCTGGATAGAAAATACGTATACATAAGATATCAACTATATTTTTTTAAAAAATAGAAAAAACATTCAAGAAAATATGCTAAATTGAGGGTCTACTTATCAAGGGCTGACAAGAGCTTGAGAGAGCTGAGCTGCCAGACGTCAGAGCAGCTAATTAAGACAACAAGCCAAAATGAAAGTAACACTCAAGCCTTTAACCACTTAATACGATAGAAGAAGCAAGAGGCTAAACCTGAGAAAGTGCTTCCTCCCACCCCACTTCCATATTCCCCCATGGAATGGTGCATGGTCTAGGTCAGGAGAATCAGCACAGAAGTGGGGTCATCTCATTGCCGAGGGAGCCCTGAACAAAAGGCTCTTACACTTGCAGTTTTATGGACCTTGGGGCTGGAGGCCAGGAGGAAGGGATAGGAGTGGAAAAGTAGAGTCAGAGTGGAGAAAACGGTCCTCCAGTTTCCCTCCCCTTCCCCGTCATAAGAAGGTCTTTGGCAGAAGCACCTGAGGAAGTTCTCTGCTGAAGGCCCCCAATAAAGAGGATCCGAATGAAGGCACCTAGGCTAGGAATGCAGACATGCATAAGAGCATGGCTGGCAGGTGACCTGAGTCTTGACTCTAACTCCCTTCAGGGACTGCAATGCATTGACTGTGTACCAAGTTTGGTGTGGGGAGGGCAGCTGTCCCCTATGAGGCTTAACAGGTAAAGATTTGCAATTGCCTCATGTCAGCCTGAAAAAAATCACATAGGATTTTGGCCTGCAGCCTCCAAACTCCTCACTGCTACCTGCCAGCCACTATACTAAAGCTGAGGATGTGAACTAGACAGACATTTTGTACTTGTGGAGTTTATACTCCAGTGGAAAAGATAATAAGAAAACAAAAAATTATAGCTTGAATAATTCAATTTGCACTGTGAAAAGATCATTCTGGCTGCCATGTACTGAATGGTTAGGAGAAAGGCAAGAGGGAAAAGCTGGGAGACCAATGATACTGAGTAATTAACGGTGGTTATCAGAGCAGAAGAATTTTAAGAACTAATCTCTATTTTCTTCTTTTTTCCCTGTATTTCCAAGCGATCAACAACAGACATGTATTGTATTTACAATCCAAAATAGGAATATCTTATATTCCTAGAAACAAGTTTAAAAAAAAATCCATGCCAGCTATATAGGCAGGGAAGCTGTTAAGCAGCCGAGTCAACCAACTAAGGGAGTCATTACCATACGGGTACCTCCCTTTCCTTGAAAACGTTATTTCCTTTTAATATATAGGTGATGTCAATATAATTGAAATAAAATACATAAGAATCTAAAATAACAAGTCCTGCCTCTGAATTTAGACATTTAAGTCTGCTGTTTGTCCCTTCAGATATTTCCTATGCTTATACAAACTATATCTTTAAAAAAAGGTATATGTTTTGAAAAATATATACAAATGGGTCTGATAAGTCTGAAGCTCCCACACTGTGCACTGAGACATGCCGCAGCAAACTCACAGAAGCACCTCGTAATATTTTAAATTTTCAAGGAAAACAGTGACACTCAATAGCTCAAGGCAGTTCACCATTTAAAATAATAGTGCACTGCATTCCCTCTGATGACGACAAATCTTTGCAACGTGGATTTTCAGAAGATGAATTTTCACTGGTTGTTTGGCCTTAAGTACTAATGGATGGGACTATTAGGCATTTCTTTGAGTGCAGGGACACAATTAAAAAAATTACTGAGACATTATGGGCACCGTGAACCAAGAAAGTTTGAGAACCTCTGTGGTAAGTTTTTACAGAAAGTGTTTTTACACAACCTATTTGATTCAACTCAACTGTCCCCTGCTTTTAGTCCCTTTCCCTCCTCATCCTCCCTGCCTCTAATGTCCAATTTATCCTACTCCTACCACTCAGGTAAACAAAAACCCACTCCTCCATCTACCCTCTTCCCCCCAGTAATCTCTCCACATTCTACATGCCAGACGCATACTGCTACCTGGAACTGCCTGCACACACTTTCCTGGTACTCTAACTATTCCCTCTGATAGATGTGCGTGCATGTGCGTGTATGTATACACATGCATGTATGTTTATGTATATGTGTATATAGAGTACACATCTTAGCATATATTAATAGACAGGTATTAATATGTTTATATTATATTATAAAGAAAAAAGCCTTAAAGCAACTAAATTCAATAGATATTTATAGAAATATTATGTTTTTGATATATTATATATGAATAGGTAACATTTATCTATGAATAGAAAAAAACACTAGAAGAATATATCCCATAATACTAACAGTGATTATCTCTAGAGGGTGTAATCCTGCCAACATTTCAGTACCCAGGTTAAACCCCATCTCTTCTATAAAATCTTCCCATAGCCCCCGAATGAGAAGAGCTCTCTTCCCTCCAAAACTACCATAGCATTTTGCTTGTATCTCTGTAACTACATTAAGCATTCTGCTCTGGATCAATTACTTAAACATGGGTTTTTCTCCTCCACTACACAGTGAACACCTAGGCATATCATCCTTTCATGTTCCCTCCCACAGTACCTAACACAGGACAATGTCTCTTTGAAACATAATAATCACTGTTGTTGAGTTTATACACCCATCAGATATTAGAGGACACTCTATACCTAACATAAAAGGTCATTTAATTAATTTTCTGCAAACCTTTTGCTTGAAGAATTGTTGGAGAATGTTGTAAAAATTCTCCAAATTTCTGTAGCGTTCCTTCTTTTTTCTTAGTGGCCAAGTTTGTGTTAATTGTAGATGCCTGACTCCGTAAAGAATATGTTTTCTTCGATGATGGACGTGTGGAAACCTAACAAACAAAAATTTTTTGTTATTGTTAATGAGAAATGCTAGAAGGAAATAGTTTATAGCCACAGTTGAGGCCAGACACAGGTTATGAACTCTCAGGCAGGGACCTCGGGATTAAGAATATGAGGAGTGGAATGAAAGGGCCAGAGAATGGCAAAATAAGTGCGACAGGCAGAGTGCCAAGTCAGAAGTGAATAGATCAAGAAGTGCCTGCTACTGGCCAGATGCTAATGGTTATATTCAAAGCTGAATTTGATGAAGAGGAAATGGAAGATAAATGAGTTATAATGGGACAAAACTGGATTTCTAGATAATTACTAACCAAATTTGACATCTTTATTTTCATCTTCTACTTTACAAATGTAAGTCATGAAAATAGTTGATTTTGGACAAATTCAAAGACAAACCTTTTGTTCCTTTTCAACAGAGGAATCTGTATGCTCAGAAATAAGGGACTTCAAATTAGTTCTGGGTGTAGCATTCTTCTTATTTTCACATTTCACAAAGTCCTAAAAATAATGAATTCCAGCACTGGTTAATTTCTTGACAATATTTTCTTTCTCTAGGCTCAAAAATACAAACAACAAATAAATAAGATAATGGTTCTCTACCAAGGGTGATTTTGACCCCAGGGGACATTGGCAATGTCTGGAGATATTTTTGGTTGTCATTGCTGGGGAGAAAGGAGGGTTCATTGGCAACTAGTGGTTAGAGGCCAGGAATGCCACTACACACTCCTACAAAGCACAAGACAGCCTTCCAAAACAAAGACGTATTTGGCCCAAAATGTGCAGAAGTTGAGAAACCCTGACTGAAGGTATGAATTCTTTTTTCCAACTTCATTGAGATATTATTGACATATAATATATGTAAGTTTAAGGTGTATAAGGTGATAATTTAATACACTTATATACTGTGAAATGATTAAAGGTATGAAATCTTCACAAACATCATAAATAATAAAATTATATGAGTTACATGAAAAATATTAGAAGGGATAAAATCTTTTATTTGAAGCCCACCTTTAAAATACAGCACAGCAATATACCTACCCTTTCCCCAATTCCCAAATCATGCAGAGCATCTATGTCTAAGACCTCTAATTGAAATTTGGCAACATCAAAAAACAAAATAAAACAAAAACAAATACAAATCTTCAGTATAAGCACAGGCAAAATGTGAAAATTAAGAAATATAATCTGTCTTCTCTACTAAACAGTCATGACATCTTACTCTACTTCTCCCCACATAACCTCACTTAGGACAAAGCCTTTTGTAGTATATTAACTGAACTGAACTGGTGCAAATCCTAATTATACCAAAGATTATGAGCATAAAAGGGGAAAAAAAAAAAAAGGTAAGAAGAGAAGTAGAGAAACAATCATGACCCAACCTCAGAATGCCAGTTACAAAGTAGAAGTCACAAGGGTCATAAGAAGAAGACTTCCTGAAAGGGGAAAAACTGGTGGTAATCATAGGAAGCAAATGAAGAAAGACTGCAACTCCGTCACACTTGTCGAGTTCCATAAAGAGCCCTTTGGAGTCTTCACTGGATTAGACTACAGCACTGTATAAATGATTTTCATGAGGACCTTACAACAGTCAGTTTATTACAGCAGTGAAGAGCTAGCAAAATCAGTTAAAATTTTTAAGCTTCTACATGATTAATCTACAATAATCTGTATATCTATTCTGAAATACACATGAGGAGTATATACCAACAGTAAAATGAATAATTATATTTTAATCCTCAGAGTACACAACCAATTTTTCCTTTTTCCTCAAAAAAAATTGAATCAAGGAAAAGTCAACTTAACATAGATTATGATGAAATTAAAATTTTAGTATTTTAATGGCATCTAAAATGTATTAAATATAAATAAAATATAGAATAAAAGTTAACTAAGGCTCTACAAAACAATCTCTAAAGGTGTTCTATGTGTAGCAGGAAATATGCTAAATAATGTTTATTCAGCAAATTTGTCACCCGACAGAGCGCCTCAGGAGGACGGTTAATACTATTTCTGCTCTTTCACCAGCCTGAAATATACCACTCTTTAAAGGAGTAAGAAAAACAGCTGAAGAAAAAATTATTGTGCTAGAGAGTTTATAATTAGTTGTAAACCTAAAACTAGTTACTTTTAAAATAAATATTACCATTTATTATGTATCTACCAAATGTAGAGCAAAAGCTAAGCATTTTAAACATATTATCTAATCCTTTATTTCCAAAAGGAAGAAACTGAGGATCAGAAAGTTTATGTGATTTGCCAAACTTGCATGGCTAGAATATGGTAGAAGGTTTGGTAACCCCTACAATCAGAAAGCTGTAATAAGACAGGTAAATAGTTTTTAGCTAAATAGAGGTCCAAATTTTAATACTGGCCCATAGAAAAAGAATTTTTCTTCCAAAACCTGTTATGACCATAGAGACCTAAGATTTTAGTTAAATGACAGAGATTATACCAAAGCAAGTTATCCATTTCAGTTTCCCTAATTTCTTTATCAACCCTTTTTCTCTTCCATTGGAGGGAGAGTGACCAAGTTTGAACAGGACTGGTATACTGAAATAGCTTTCCAATAAAGTCCAACATCATTCAACCTGTCACAACTTCATTGAAACAAGGGATAAGCTATCTGTTTTAATATCCATAGCTTTTTGTTTGAGGACTACTAAACTACAAACTACAACGATATTCTTAAAGAGTATAAAATATACCACAAATTATGATTTTAGTCTCTCACAGCAGTGCTTATGAAGAAGGCAGTGTAACAGAGTTTAACTATATATTGTAACTGAGCTTACTAATAATAAGCTTTGCTTGTTAAATTCACTCATCAGTTAAGTTTTTACCTCCTCCATTTCATTACTCTTCCTCTTCCGGGTCTTGGAAATCTTAACTGTCACTGGTGAGGTACAACCAGGGTGTATCACTGACATTTTGTTTGGCCGTAAAGGTGTAAACTGAATCTCTAACTCAGGTTTGGGAAATCGAGTAGTTTGATTATTTTCTGTTGACACTTCACAAGAGTCAAGGACTACAGATCCATCCTACAACAGAATTAAAAAAAAAACAAATCTTAATCCACAATATGAATTTATAAATTGCAAAGAATTAACTCTCTCAAATAACTATTAAAGACAATGAATTAGAAAATATCAAGTGTGCTGGTTCAAATTCACCACAGCAAGGACAGAAAGATTGAGTTACCCTCTACCCTCTTCAGGTTTACACATGGTATGTTAAAATCAGGGGAAACTTGGAGATCAGTATTTCCCAAATTTGTATGATCATAAGAATTATCTAGAAAATTTGTTTAAAAGATTCTTGGACCCTACCACAAACCTGCTAAATCAGAAATCTCCAAGGAAAGAGTCTAGGATTTTCAATAAGTACCCTAATTATGACAGATTAAAGTTTGCTACAAATTCTTTGCTACCCTTCCCATTGAGAGATGGAGTCTCATTCCCCTCTCCTTGAATCTGGGCTGGCCGTAATGACTCCCACAACCAACAGGATGTGGTAGAAGTAACTTCATGGTGCTTCTGAGGCTTGATCATAAGAAGCCTTGTGTTGGGCCGGCCTGGTGGCTTAGCGGTTAAGTGCGCGCGCTCCACTGCTGGCGGCCTGGGTTCGGATCCCGGACGCGCACCGACGTACCGCTTCTCCAGCCATGCTGAGGCCGTGTCCCACATACAACAACTAGGAGGATGTGCAACGATGACATACAACTATCTATTGGGGCTTTGGGGGAAAAAATAAATAAATAAATAAAATTATTAAAAAAAAAAAAAAAGAAGCCTTGTAACTTCTACCCTGTCCTCTTGGAACACTAACCTTCAGGACACTCCCCCTCAAATCCAGAATCCAGCCACTGTGTTATGAGAAGCCCAAGCCACAGGGGGAACACATACAGATCCAGCTGAGCTCCCAAAATCAACAATCAGCTATGTGAACGAATCATTTTGGACTTTCAGCCCAGACAAGCATATTGATTTCATGAAGGCAATAAAAATATACAAAACAGGGGCCAGCCCGGTGGCACAGTGGTTAAGTTCGCATACTCCGCTTCAGCAGCCCGGGGTTTGTGGGTTCAGATCCTGGGCACAGACCTATACACCGCTCACCAAGCCATGCTGTGGCAGCATCCCACACACAAAATAGAGGTAGACTGGCAACAGATGTCAGCTCAGGGACAATCTTCCTCACCAAAGGCAAAAAATATGTATACATGTAAAACAGCATAACAATATGATTCCCCCAAACTGTGGAATATACAATAACTGCTAGAATTCTTAATGGGAAATTGGAATCAGGAGGTTTTAGGACAGCATATATAAATTTATAGAGAAAGAAGTATTTTATTATATGTGATTATTGTGTAATCAAAAATTAATCTTGTTTATGAATCAACTTCAAACTTTTCTACAAACGATATGATTTGTATTAGTCTCTAAGGTCAAAGCTAATAATTTGAAACTCGATCAAAAACTATCAAGGAAAGGCCAAGGGAAAAGGAATGGCTCCCGTTATTTCCCCAGACTAAAAATGCCCTTCTCTTGCCATTCTCTGCTTGGTAAACTTCTATTCACCTTCAAGACCCAGTATGATGTTACCTTCTCTCATCCATATCTACAACCACTCAGGCAAATTTCATCATATCCTCCTCAGTCAGTGTTCCTTCTTTGCACTCTCTTCGGTAACACTCAGTCCATAAGGTAAGAGCAAACAAGGCAGTGATTTATTCATCTGTCTTACTAGATTCCTTACTCCTTGAGGCTGGCAATCCTTGAGGTTGGCAATTATGTTTTATTTATGTTTCTTATCCTCAGTGCCTAGGCAAGGCTCTCAAACACCAAATGCTCCCAAGAAATGTTTTAAAAATACACTAAAAAAATAATTTTATTTTCAAAACTTTACATGACATAACATTTTTATCTATTTCATATGCAATATGAGAATCTCTGTATTATTCAAAGTGAGTCACAGAACCCTAGGCCCATTGCAAATTAAGGAAACTCATTGTCAGTTATTGAGATTTGGTGACAAAATTATCAAATGGGTAAAATTTCAAAAAAATACTACTTAATAAGATGCTTATTATAAGAATGAGGGCAAATAATCATCTTTATTTTATCTCTCATGGTATTTCCTATTTCTGACCACCAAGTTTGTTTATAGTAACAGATCTGTTGTTTAAGATCAATATCATTTTGAGAGGAGATTAATATCCTTTGGAAATCTAATCTCCCAAAAGAATTTCACCTCTCCTCAAAGCCTTTAGTTTTCCTTCCCACAGCTGAGAGTACATAGAGCTAATTGTGCTCAGCAAGCTACCTAAAACAATTGATTAAATGATATTTGCAAAGTATTATCTGGTAATTAATGGTCACTGGTAAAGAGGGTAAAAAAGTGGACTGTGTTACCAAATACCCACCTCTACTTCATTCGTGGAAATTTCAAAACTTGTTGTTTGAGGTTCAGTTTCAACTCTGCCAGGATCCATTGAACTCATATGTCTGTGCTTAATAGCCATAGTTTGTTCTTCCTAAAGGAAATATTAAAACAACAAACCATTGTAACCTGAAAATATATTAAAACATTTCACATAAAGAACGTAAAAATCAAGATTTGGGTGGACTAAATAGTAGAAATAACTAAAGACTTCTTCAATGACCCCTTAACTCTCCTTCTTCTCTTTCATCCTCAAAGACTCAGGAAAGGCTAGGTAACTTTCCAGCCTCTTCTGAGCCCGATCTAAAGAGAAATCTGAAAGATTACTTTCAGCTTCCATGGTGTTTTACATATATTCTCTTATTTTACTTTCACTGCAACTCTCTGAGATTTGGCAAGAATCATTATTCCTACCTCTCAGATGAGGCAAGAGACTAGGATGCTAAGTGACATAGCAAAGGTCTATACTGAGTTGGAATTTGAACCCCCAAAACTGCTTTTGATAACAGTTTTGAAAAGCTGGAGGCTTCTTGGGAATGGAACTATAGCATTAGAGTATAAAAGACCATATTGATAACTAAACCTCTTCTTGCTGCACACTCTTCATGCCACCTCCTCAGTCAGAGGGTATGTTCTACTCCTAAACTCTACTTAAGGTATCTATGAAGAAATATCAGATTACATTTTTAAATTTGATAAATTCCAACACGGGCCTTCTCACCACTACCATCAAAATCAAAAGTCAAATATGTCACCTATCCATTAATGCCAAATAAGCAAGATTCTATTGAATTCGTAATGGAGAAAGCAACTAGCATGTACTGACTTCCACTATGGTTAAGAACCATGCTAATTCTTTTACAAATGCTCTCAATTGCTTTTCACAACTCTATTAGGAAAACACTATTATCTGTTTTAGATAAGTTCAGAAACGTTAAGTAATTTTCCCAAAGGTCCCAAAACCACAGTGACAGCAGCTGATACCTAGTTTTTCTAACTTTCCAGTCTGTGCTCTTTATACCACATGATACTACCTCATTTTTGAGCAGTCTTCTCTTAGAATCATGAAGCCTTTTGATGTGAGAGACAGACAGACACACATATATTTTCCTATTGTCTGAAGGCTTTAGAGCAGCAGATTTTTAAGTGCAGATCATTTATTCTGAGAAGACTAGCCTCAGATGTACTCTGATTCATTTAACTGGGAAGCAGCTATCCGTGAAATGCAATCCTCTCTTCATACATGGTTCCCAGACCCAATGTAACATTACAAAAATAACTCCTGAATGACTCATGTCTCCTCATCATTGTGCTTATTTTCAAAATAATTTGTATCTTTATACAATAAACTTAGTGTGGGCCCAAGTATTTAAATATCACAAAAGTTCAAGTTGAATCACATTTCTACGTTTTAAAGGTAGATTAGACACTAAGTCACAAGTTCTCTAATTACTCTACATGGAAGTTATGACCAAAATATTGGAGCAAGTGCTATTTCTCAGTGATTGACAAATCAATCATAATAATAACTCTGAAAACTCAAAACTCATGAGAAATATCCAAATAATATTTCAAACTCTGATTCCTTTCTGGTCTACTGAAACTTACTTTATCCTTTAAGAATTAATCTGTTAAATAATTTTGAAAAATTCCTATGTTCAATTAAAAACAAAGCCTAGAAAGAACAAGATGCTACTGACTGTTTTAGAAGCCTCTGACGTGATCTTTTTTAATTGGTCAATTTCATTATCTTTCTGTATGTTACTAGAGATCAGTGCTTTCAGCTGTATTTCTAAAGCTGCAACCAGTTGATCCCGTTCTTCTCTCCACTTTTGAAGGTTACTATCTTTCTCTGCCAGCTGTGCTGTAAGTATGCCCTAATCAGAAAATAAAGAAAATGTTAAACCTTGAGACATTATGAATCTAAGACTTTTTTGAAATTTTTATTACAAATAACATCTAAATACGACTGTGAACAAGATGTATAACAAATTATATAGTTAAGTCTAGATAAAATATTTACTTATAAAACAAAATACATATTGCCTTTATATATATTAATGCCCACATGCTATATCCCTAACCCCCCTCATTCCAAAAATCAGTTTATTGGTCACTTCTTTCAATATACAATTATAGCTTTTAACCTAATATCAGCATTTCCACCATATTTGGGAAATGAGAGAGTAAAACCAGAGTAAAACAAATGACAAAACTAATAGCAACAAACAACAGAGGAAATAAAAATTTAAAATACCATTTTCAATGAGTTCAAAAATCATTAAATACTTAGTGGTAAATTAAAGAAAATACAGGCAAGCCCTAAACATGAAAAACTGTAAAACATTCCTGAAAGAAATTAAAGAACACTTAAATAAATGGAGAGATAATCTGTGTTCAAAGATCAAAAGACTCAGTAATGTTAAGATGTCAGTTCTCCCCAAACAGATCCATAGAGTCAAGGCAATTTCAATCAAAATCCAGGCAGGCATGTGTATGTGCATGTGTGTGTAAAAATGGAAAAGCTGACTCTAAAAGTTATATGGAAATGCAAATGATCTAGAATAGTCAAAATTATTTTGAAAATGAAGCACAAAGTAGGAGCAATCACACTGTGTCACTTCAAACCTACTATAATAACCAAGACAGTGTGATACTGATGTGAAGGATGGCCAGAGATCAGCAGACAGAAGATAGAGTCTACAAATGTATGGTCAGTTGACATTCTACAAAAATGCCAAAGAAATTCAATGGAGGAAAGGACAGTCTTTTCAACAAATAGTGCTGGAACAAGTGAAGAGCCAAATGGAAAAAAAAAATGAACCCCAACCCTAATCTCACACCATACACAAATATTAATCTTTGGACAAATGATTTATGACAAAAGCGGCAGAGCAGTCGGCAAGAAAATAGTTTTTTTCAACAAATACTACCAGGTAATCCACATTTTTAAAAAAGCCTTGACTCCTATCTCACTCCAACATAAAAATCAATTCTAGCATCTAAATATGAAAGGTAAAACCCCAAACCTTTCAGAAAATAATGTAAGAGAACATCTTTATGTCCTTGGCATTCATAAAGGAAAAGACTGAGAAAATAAACTAAAATAAGTTTAAGAACTCCTATTCATAAAAAGGAAATAAGAAAGTGAAAAGGGAAACTTGAGATTGAAAGAAAGTACTTGCAACACATTATAGACAAAGGGTACATATCCAGAAGGTATGAGGAACGCCTACTTAATAATAAGAAAAAGCTAGACAGTCCAGTAGAAAACAGGCAAAGAGCTTGTATAGGCAGAGCCAATAAACAAATGATACATCTTCAACCTCATTAGTAATCAGGAAAAACCACATTAAAACCATAAAAAATGACCGACAATACCCTATGTCGGGGGGAATATATGGCAACTACAATACTAGTTAAGAGTATAAATGGGTACAACTACTTTGAAACTGAGTCTGGCCTTCTACTAGAGTTCCACATATATATACCCTATGGTCTAGCAATTTTATTCTTGGCTATATGTGCAACAGAAATGCATGCACATGTGCAGTAAGAGAAATGTGTAAAAATATTTATAGGAGAATTTACTCATAACATCCAAAAATAGGAAATAATCCACATATCTTCAACATCAAAATGAATGGACTGTGGTATATTCACACACTGAAATATTCAGCAATGAACACAGACTAACTCCAGCTACATGCAACAACGAGGCTGACTCTGACAAACATAACACTGAATGAAAGAAGCCAGGCACAAAAAAATGCATTCAGTATACCTCCATTTATATAAAATTCGCAAATAGGCAAAACTCAAGTATAACATTAAAAGGCAGAATAGCTATCAGCATTGGGAAAGAAGTAGAAGAGGGGGCCTCTGGGGTACTGGTAATGTTCTATTTCTTGAACTGGGTGGTAAAGTGGCTTTACAATAGTAAGTTGGCTTTACAATAATTCAACGAACCATATGTTTGTTTTGTTTACTCACTGTGCTCTATGTTAGAATTTTAAAAATCAACAATTTATTTCTTAAATATAGCAGACACATACATCCTAGGTATGACTGTAAAAAGACACACGGGAGAAAGGAGGAAGCTGGCTTTCTCTAGGATTAAAAACTCAAAGTAGGTTTTCTTGTGGCGTTGCCGCTACAGGGACCACTGACTAGGAAAAGACAGTATCCCAATGGTTTGGAATTGAAGTGACTATGAGAGCCAACAGCTTTGATTTCACTTCTTGCCTCTTACTATTGTCCAGGAAGGTTTGATGGGCTGTGGGACAGGAACAGAGAACCAGCAGCAACCTTTCCCGTTAAGACAGACGGAGCATCAGAATCCTACTCAACCTGACACTTCCTGAAAGTACCTCCAATCACGTGGGGCTGGCACATGAAATAAAACATACTGCCATCTTGGAGCTGTAGTAATGACAAGTATTAGTCTCATAAGGTTTGGCATATGACAGAGGCAAGACTCTAAGGAAACATGACAACAAAATGTAATGTAGTTGCCTAGATTTGATCCTGGACCCAGAAAAAGACATTAGTGGGAAAACTGGTAAAATTCTAATAAGGTCCATAAGTTAGCTAATGGTACTATAATCATATTAAATTTTTGGTTTTGATCATTGTACTATTGTTACATAAGATGCTAACATCAAGAGAAGTTGGGTGAAGGGTATACAAGAAGTCTCTGTACTGGTTTTGTAACTTTTCTATAAATAAAATGATTTCAAAATGAAAAGATAAAAATATTTTTAAAGATCAGTGGGAAAATCATCCTTAACTTATTGAAAATTAACATTCCTCCTTTCTACAGGAAATTTTAGCAATTATCAGTAAAATTCTGTCATAAACAAAGGAAATACCAACAGATGACAATGCAATACTGCAAAGTTACTATTATTCTAAATAGAGAACCAGTTTTTCATTTGAAGATAATGTTAATGTGTTGCTCAATGGTCTTCCCAGGATCTACAATGCCTTTTAACTTCTTTTTTCTGATTGGCAACACTGGGTGTCAAACAGACTAAGTTGTCATTTAAAACAAGAGGGAAAAAAACAAGCAAAGATAGAATCACTCTAAGAGCTACAGCTAGTCAATGAACTACTGAAAGTTATTTCTACCTATAGTCTTCTAGAAACTATTTAGTTGACTTAAAAAAAAGTCCTGATAAAACTGGCTCATGAAGTAAAATACACCATGTGAATCTACAGTTTAAAATGCAAAAAGTTTTATAATATAGTAGAGATAACCCTGTGGCAGTCAAAGGAAAAGATTTTTAAGTTTGGCATCTAGATATCGAGATGTAATTAGGTATTTTCCCAACTTGCTAAATGGACTGAAAAAAATTAAAATAAGAACATAAGTGAACTTCAAGATAAGCTGGGAAAGAAAAATCATCTTACAGATAGACAAACTGCCTTAAAAAAAGAAAAACAGGCAACCATGTAGATTGATAAGAATCCCTGAGATAAATTTAACAAACCAAAGAAAGCAGGTGAAATATATTGAAGATAAAGCATAATTGTTACCAACCACTTCATTTTGTTGCTTTAAACAACGCTCTCTGTCTTCGGCATATTTTTTCATCTCTTTGTTTCGTAGATTCTCAGCTTCTTTTGCCTGAGTAATAAGCATCATTTTTTCTTCTACCCATTTCTGTCTATCAGATTTATATTTCTGTTCAGATTCCTATATATATAAATAGTACAAGTAACTATCCTATGTTTGAGAAGTAGTCAATAAATCGATTTTTATAGCATTTTCATACAACCCATCACTTTTCACCTTTTTAAAAACTTTAAGTGCTTTTCATTAAATAATGACAAGATCAGTGTTTATTTCAGATTATAAAAAGAATACTGCTGGTTTGCTTTCTTAAACAGTACTTCCTTTATAAACTTTATTTTGCTATGAAGTCCATTTAAGGACTTTCCTTCATAGTGAGCTCAAGAAATCAACAATTTAAATTTCTGAGTTACAGAGACCCAAGTCTTCCCAAATGCCAGAAAAAAAAGACTTGGTTTGTGGCGGTCATTTCTAAATGTATGGTTCCAAAAATAAAATATTCCTGGGTATACAGGATGCCAAATAAAGAATAACTTGTGCAACAGGTCAAACATTTATTAGTTTAAGGAACATTGGAAACAGCTGAACAGAGAATACAGTTGATTAGTAATTTTCACAGTAGATTCCATAGATGCTTTGGGTTCAAAGGAATCTAATTAATGCACTCAAAACGCAAGTAAAACTTCATTAAAAAAAAAACAATAGGGGCCAGCCTGGTGGTGCAAGCGGTTAAGTGCGCGTACTCCGCTGCAGCCAGGGGTTCGCCAGTTCGGATCCCGGGTGCGCACCGACGCACTGCTTGTCAAGCCATGCTGTGGGGGTGTCCCGTATAAAGTAGAGGAAGATGGGCAAGGATGTTAGCTCAAGGCCAGTCTTTCTCAGCAAAAAGAGGAGGATTGGCATCAAATGTTAGCTCAGGGCTGATCTTCCTCACAAAAAAAACAAAAACAAAAAACAATAATACCACCTTAAAATATATATATCCCACTGTTCCAAAACCTTCTAAAACCACTGTGCTAGATGAACTATGGAAGTTAATTCCAAGATTACAAAGTTTATAATCTAAAATATGTGATTACATCATTTTAGAACAATGCAAAACATACCAATACTCCTTAATATGAATATTCTCAATATAGTTAATGTATTTAATTGATAATTAATGGAGTATTTACTTTGTTCTAACTGCTTTTGGGTTTTCATAATGAAAAGGGTAAATTCTAGAATATATAATTAACCGTTACAAAAGAAAGCAACTAATTTTTTTGTATTTGTTCAGTATCTGATTATATGCAGCCTGAATTTAAGAAAAACATTTAGATGCAGCCAACTTTTCAAAATCATTATTATGTTTTCTTCAATCGCAAAACTATAGTCATGAATGAAACTTCTAATAAAATGTACAAAATTTTAAATAGTATTTGGTAAATTCCATTAAAAAAATATTTCCCCCACATGTTGTATTCTATACATAGCACATTACAGCTGAACATGGAAAAATATAAACAAAACAGAATATCTTCTATATAGTATGGTTTCAAAGATATTCCAGGATCCAGATATACAACTTTATTCTTTTCCAACTTAGTAAACATTGAAAAGATTATTTACAATAATCAAAATAATTTTCCAAATAGCCATCTTCTCCACAGCAGTATTTGATGAGTAAGAAGTTTAAGGAGTAGAAAAATAGGTAGAAAGACATAAAAAGTGGTGATTCAATAATTAAATATATAAAATATAAAACTGAAGACCCAATCCCTATATTTTCATTGGCACTTGGTAGTTTGTATGTTGGCAATTTCCTCCCTATGTCATTTCAATGTAACGAAATGTACAACGTACTAAATGTACTGAAATGTACAATATACAATGTACTGAAATGTATAATGTACTGAAAAATTATACGTGTCTATATATTAACATTTCCAAGGTATTATTTCACCTATATCTAAATTAATTATAAAATATTTACTGAATTTTCCTCTCATGATAAATATAATGAATAGATACACACATACACACACACATAAAATCATACCTGAAACTCATCTTGAAGCTTACTGAGTTGTTTACTAAGTACATCTGTGTTATCCTCAAGTTCTTTATTTGAACTTCGATTACTTTTGGTTTCTAGATCTTTGCATTTTTCCTTCCATTTTTCCAATTCTGATTTGAAAACATAAAATCATTTTTTAAAGCACATGCAAAAGTTATACTATTTAGAGATATATGTGGCATGGGATACAGAGAAGAATCAGCAGAGCCCAGAAGAAGAATGTTGACCAAGATAGAACCAAGACTATTCCAAGAGCTGCACTTTTGAGAGTTCTCACCAAATTCTTAGAGAAGAGGAACTACAAGGACCTCTCAGGAACCCACTGAACAGTGTTCAGAGAATACAATATAAATGTATGTCAATCTTAATTATATGGGAAAATTCATGTAGTTCTCAAAACAAAAAAAACCGTGATGGTATTCTGAAGGATGGAATCAGAGTATTCCTTAAGATAAACATATAAGATGATACTAAGCGGAACAGAGGTAAAACTCAGTTGACAGTTAATACTCTTAATATCTGCGGAATGTTGCAAGTTATCATACAGTTATTAAGAAAGCGTTCTTATTCCTTCTTTACTACATACAATTTTACTTAGATAAAACAATTTTCATCACATTGGAAAATGGCAAGTGACAGGACATTACAAAAATACACCAAATACTTTTTCATTATGAATTATTATAGATACTAAACTACTTACAAAAGGAAAGATATCTAGGAAAATAAAGAAAATGGAAGAGAATGTCTGGAGATATTTAAGCAATCTTGTTTTACCTGTGGCCAGTCTTTCAGCTTCCTCTAATTTAGCCTCGAGCACTTGATCTTGTTCTACCTGAGTTTGTTCCTGTTCTTCCAGTGTCATTCGCATGTCTTCAATTATTTTCTCTTTAACATTTAGATCTAAAATTGGGGGAGAACATTTTAGAAATCAGTAACATCTACATCTAGATATCCAATTTTTCTTGAGTTCTTCTAAAATTAAAATACTTTTATTAACTGTAACAGAATAAGAGTTGCATATTGACAGAAACTTGGTCTTGTTCACTGCTGTATCCTCAATGCCTAGAACAGTACTGGCACATACGAAACATCAAATAAATATCTGATGAACAGATGGATGATTGCAAGAATGGATGGATGGTTAAGAGGAGGGAAAAGGAATCTTTTCAGATAAAATTAATAATTTTTTATATAATGAACTATTTACGCTAATAAACACAAAGCTTAGTTTAGAAAAAACGTTATTTGGCAAAACATTTATTTTTAGTGTTAATATTCTCAAACCAAAACTAAAACTTTTACCTCCTAAAAACAAAAAAAAGGCTCAAATCCCAATCTGACTTATTTTTTTAAATCTCAAGTAATTATTTTTTCTAGAAAAATTTCCAAAGCCAAATATTTACTTCTAGTGTTTTTAAAACCAGTTCTTCAGTAATGACTGCTACTAGCCTTACCAGAATTGTTTCTGGTCCTTCAAATATTATTACAACAATGACTTATAAACAATTCCACTTTAATCCTGTCTGCTTTCAGAGATAAAGAGGAAAGATTACTTTGTTGCCTCTGGTGATGGCTGCATAGTAGCAAGGCTCATTTCAGACACCTCTTACCAAAACTATTACTGATGTCAAAGGTAATAAACCTATAAATGCATAGCTCAACCTCAGGTCACTGAAAGTGACATTAAAAATGACACAAATCTCGGGGCCACACCGGTGGCGTAGCAGTTAAGTTCTTGAGCTCCGCTTTGGCGACCTGGAGTTCGCAGGTTTGGATCCCGGGCACAGACTGACGCACCACTTGTCAAGCCATGCTGTGGTGGCATCCCATATCAAGTAGAGGAAGATGGGCACGGATGTTAGCCTAGGGCCAATCTTCCTTAGCAAAAAGAAGAGGATTGGCAACGGATGTTAGCTCAGGGCTAATCTTCCTCATTGAAAAAAAAAAAAAAAGGATACAAATCTCAAAAGATGGCTCCCTCAAAGTGCACATAGAGCAAGCTTTAAAAAAACAAAACAATAAGAAAAAATTACATCAGTAATTTTCAGTATTTCTGTCTATCGATGTAAGCTGCCAGGAGTGCTAATAAAACAGAATTCCTTATAGGATTAAAGGAGTCTTAGTATTATCATCTAAACTCTTTCTTTAAAAAGCATGATTTGTAAATATATTCAGATTATATAATTAATTAATTATAATTTTTGTCAAAGAATCCCCTTCCCTTATACTCTATATTTTGCTCTAGAGGACTAGAAATAGAATTTTAAGTATCTACTTATCATTTAGGAAAGTCCCAGGACACTAATGATAATTTCACTAATGGCTATTTCTACCTATTATTTGAAAGGCAGGAGCAGTAAAGGAAAAAAGAGAATTATTTTATCAGTCACCACCTCAAATAATTTACATTTTATTTCAGTAAAGAATCTAGAAATATGCAACAAATAAAACATAAAATAATGCAACATAAAGACAGCTATAAGATAGATATCTCATTATAGCTATCTAAAGGTAGCTTTGAGTTATCATAGCTAAATTAAGTGACTGTCAAATGATGCAGCAATCAAGGGCTTAACATCCAAGGGAGAGGATCACTGAAAGCTATAGTGTCCTAGGAAGGCTTCAAGGAGGAAAGGCTTAAGCTTAACAATTGAGAACAGGTAGGAATTGGAAAGAAGGGACATCACACAAGCTAGGGGCAGACATGACCTATAAATGTCATGTAAAAACCCTGGATTAGAAATATTCACTTAGTGACAGTTCAAATTTATTTCAGAATATCAGTATATCAGATGTATATAAAACAAGTACAAAAGCTTGAAACCATGTGATACCATGTTTTACTCATCACACTGGCAGTAAGTTTAAAGTTTGTTAACACTTAATTGGCAAAAATGTGGTGAAATGGGCATTCTATACACTATTACTGTGAATATAAACTACTATAACCACTTTGGGAGCAGTTTGGCAATAGTTATCAAAATTTTAAATATACGTCATTTGGGCCAACAATTACACTGCTAGGAATTTCCCCTACAAATACATTTACACGTGTGCACAAAGACTTTTGTACAAAAATACTCGTGGTAATGTCTATAGTAACAAAAAATAATGTCTGACATAACCAAAAATATTTTTTTTATTAAAAGAGGTCATATTACCAAAGAGTAGATTATAAAATGTGTTGTTAACTTTCTTAGATATGATGATACTGTGCTTATATAAGACATCTTTACCTTACAAATTTCAGGATAAACTATTTAAGTGTCAGATATCATTGATGCCTGCAAATATCTTTTAAGTCGTTCAGTTTAATGTATAAATATTTATTAGAGAAAAAAACAGAGAGAGACAGAGAAAGAGAGATGCAAATATGGCAAAATATTAAAAAATAGTGAATCTAATAAAGGGTATTCAGGAGGTTTTTATATTGCCTTTCTGATTCCTTTGCAAGTGTTTATTTTTTAATTCGAATTTTGGAAAAATAATAAAGTTGGAAGCATTATTCCAACTTTACAAGCAACTGAAAGTATACCTTAAATGAGCATATAATATTCCCTCTATTGGACTTTGAAATTGTTTCATTTACGATCAACGCCACATCTTTGGTCAAATGAAGGACTCCATTCCTTGCACAGCATTCTCTTCTGTGTATATTAGAATCAGTTTTATCTCCTCTATCCTAATCAATTCTGCCACATTACTTAAAGCTTTCTTTCAAGAGAGTAACAGTTTTTTCTCCAATAAAAAAGAAAAGTCATATTAAATAAATTGTGATATATCTATATCAATAAAATGGAATACTATATAGCCTTTAAAAAGAAAGAGGTTACAAAGAGAGAAAAAAAGATAAGGTAGATCTGTGTGTGATTAAACGGAAAAATTTCTCAAAATTTTCCAAATATATAAAAACTCATTGTTTTAGTTAGTGATTTCTTCTGGGGTCTTTTTCTTGAGATCATACATTTCCAAAGGAAACGGGGTCTTTCATTTGCCTTCTTTATCACAGAAATAGATGCAAAATGAAGCAGGGCAAAATTAGGGAACAAAACAAATTAGTCTGGAGAGAAAAGAAAGGTTATACAATATTAGGCTAGAAAAAGGCAGGCTGGAATGTCAAGCTAGAGGATGAAAGTTTACTATGTGGGCAATATGCCACAATTGAAAATTCTGAATAGGCAAGTAACACAATGAAAGAACCGTTTTAGAAAAACTTAAGCTAGCTGTGTGGCTATATGAAGAGTGAGTTTGACATAAAGCCTGGCAATAGGATAGGACAAATATGAGAAGTCACTAGGAAAAAAAAGTAACAGACATTAGGGTGAGGGGAAATGATATTATTTAAAGTCTAAACCACGGGTGGGCAAACATTTTCCGTGAAGGGTCGGATAGTAACTATTTTAAGGTCTGTCACAACTATTTACCTCTGTCATTGTAATGTGAAAGCAGCCACAAACAATACAAAAGGGAATGTGTCGGGGCCAGCCCAGTGGCGTAGCAGTTAAGTTCGTGTGCTCTGCTTCGGCAGCCCAAAGTTTGCAGGTTCAGATCCCAGGCGCGGACCAACATACTGCTTGTCAAGCCATGCTGTGGTGGCATCCCATATAAAATAGAGGAAGATGGGCATGGATGTTAGCCCAGAGCCAATCTTCCTCAGCAAAAAGAGGAGGATTAGCATCGGATGTTAGTTCAGAGCTAATCTTCCTCACCAAAAAAAAAAAGAGAGAGAGAATGTGTTGCTATGTTCCAATAAAATTTTATTTACAAAATTAGGCAGTGAGCTGGATTTGGTCAGAAGGCTGCCATTTGCTAACCCCTGGTCTAAACAAGAGAAACAGCAGAGATCAGAAAGTTAAGACAGTTTGGGCAGAAAGAGACATTGAGGTTCAGAATTTAGTAAGATTCCTTTTGGAGTCTTATTAAACCACTCAGCATAAGAAAAGAAAATTATAGACCAATATCCCTTATGAATATATACACAAAACCTCAACAGAATACTAGCAAACTAAATCCTGCAACATATATAAAGCATTATATACACCGTGGTAATCAAGTGGAATTTATCCCAGGAACGTAAGTTTGGTTCAATATGGGAAAATCAATCAATGCAACACACCGTATTGACAGAAGAAAGAACAAAACCACATGATCATCTCAAAAGATGCAGAAAAAGGTATTTGGCAAAATCCAACACCCTTGCATGATAAAAACACTCAATAAACTAGGAACAGACAGGAACTTGCTCAACCTGATAAAAGGCATCCACAAAAACTTCACATCTAACATTATACATGATGGTGAAAGAATGAAAACTTTCCCCCTAAGATCAGGAACAAGATAAGGATGTCCACTCTCTTCACTTCTATTCAACATTGTTCTGGAGGTCTTAGCCAGCGCAATTTGGCAAGAACAAGAAATAAAAGGCAAACAGATTGGAAAGAAGTGAAACTATCTCTATTTGCAGATCACATGATCTTGTATATAGAAAATCCTATGGAAGGAAGGAAAGAAGGAAGGGAAGGAGGGGGGGAGGAAGGAATGGAAGAAGGAAGAAAGAAAATCTTATTAGAGTTCATAAACTAGTTCAGGAAGGTTACAGGATACAAGATCAATATAACTAAAACAATTGTATTTCTAAACAATGGATTTCCATACTAGCAATAAATAATCCAAAAATGGTATTAAGGAAATAATTCCATTTTCAATAGCATCACAAAGAATAAAATACTTAGAAAGAAATTAACAAAAGATAGGCAAAATTTGTGCACTGAAAACTAAAAACATCACTGAAAAAAATTATAGAAGGCCTAACTAAATGAAAAGATATCCTGAGTTAATGATTAACATTGTTAGGTTGGCAATTTTCCCAAACAGATCCTCACATTTAATCCCCATTAAAATTCCAGCTAGCTTTTTTGCAGAAATTGACAAGCTGATCCTAAAATTCATGTGGAAATTAAAGGAACCAAAATAGCCAAAACCATCTTGCAAAAGAAGAACAAAAGTGGAACAATTAACACTTTCCAATTTCAAAACTTACTATAAAGATACAGTAACAACACAGTGTGGTACTGGCATAAGGATAGACATATAGATCAATGAAACAGAATTGAGAGTCCAGAAGTAAACCCTTACATTTATGGTCAACTGATTTTCAATAAAGGTGCAAAGACAACGCAATGAGGGGAAAAAAATAGCCTTTTCAACAAATGGTGCCAAGACAACTGGATCTCCATATGCAAAAAATTAAGTTAGACGCCTACCTCACACAATATACAAAATTATACCCAAATGGATTAACTCAAAACAGATCAAAGACCTAAATATAAGAGCTAAAACTATAAAACTCTTAGAAGAAAACTTAGATGACTTTAGTTTAGGTAACAGTTTCTTAGACATGACACCTAAAAGCACAAGCATTTAAAACAAAATAGGTAAATTGGACTTAATCAAAATTAAAAACTTTTATGCATCAAAGGACACTATCAAGGAAGTGAAAAACAACCCACAGAATGAGAGAAAACATATGTAAATCATTTATCTGATAAGGATCTAGTATCCAAAATACATAAAGAACTCTTACAACTCCATAATAAAAAGACAAATAACCCAGTTGAAAAACGGGCAAAGGGCTTGAACAGACATTTCTCCAAAGAAGATATATAAACGGTCAATAGCACAAGACAGGACGCTCAATATTATTAGCCATTAGGGAAATGCAAATCAAAACCACAATGACATGCTACTTTATACCCACCAGAATGTTAGGTTAAATAGTGTTCTCCCAAAATTCATGTTTGCCCACTATGAATATGACCTTATTTGGAAATAGGGTCTTCGCAGATGTAATCAAGTTAAGAATGAGGTCATACTGGATTAGAGTGTGCCCTAAATAAGAAGGGTGTGTCCTTATAAGAAGACAGAAATTTGGACAGAGACAGTAAGGAGAAGATACCAATAGAGACACACCCAGAGAGAAGACGGCCACGTTAAAACAGAGGCAGACTGGAGATGTGCTGCCACAAGCCAAGGAATACAAAGATTGCCATTAACATTAGAAGCTGGAAGAGACAAGGAAAGATTCTTCCCTAGAACCTTTGGAAGGAGTGTAGCCCTATCAATACCTTTACTTCAGATTTCTAGCTTTCAGGACTGTAAGAGAATAAATTTCCGTTGTTTTTAAGCCACTCCGTTTGCGGTAGTTTGCTACAGTAGCCCTAGGAAACTAATATAGACAGTTATAACTTTTAAAATGAAAAATAACAAGTGTTGGCAATGATGTAGAGTAATTGGAGCCCTCATCCACTGCTGGTCAAAATGTAAAATGGCATAGCCACTGTGGAAAACTTTGACAGTTCCTCAAAAAGTTAAACATAGAGTCACCATATGACCCAGTGTTCCACTCCTCGATATATATCCCCAAGAGAACTGAAAACATATGTTCACCAAAACAAAAAAGATTGTGTACAAAAAAATTGTACACAAATATTCATAGAAGCCAAAAAAGTGGAAACAATATAAAGGTCCATCAACTAATGCTTAAATAAAATATGGTATATTCATACAATGGAATATTATTCAGCCACAAAAAGGAATGAAGTACTGATTCATGCTACAATATAGATGAAACTTAAAAACATTATGCTAAGTGAAAGAAGTTAGACAGAAAAGGCCATATATTTTATGAATTCACTAACATGAAATGTCTACAACAGGCAAATTCACAGACAGAAAGTAGATTAGTGGTTGACAGGGACTGGGGAGTGATTGCTAATGGGCACAGGATTTCTCTTGGGGGTGATGAAAAGTTCTGGAATTAGATAGTGGTAGTACACTATCTAATTGTACAATCTGTACAATTGTACAATTGTACAAACTGTGATTGTACAAACTGTACAATCTTGTGTACAGTTGTACAGTCTTGTGAATATACTAAAACCCACTAAATTGTACACTTTCAAAGGGTAAATTTTCTGGTATATATATTATATATCAATTTTTTTAAAAAAGAATTTACTGGGGCCTGCCTGGTGGTGTAGTGGGTAAGTTCACACACTCTGCTTCAGTGGCCCAGGGTTCGCAGGTTCCGATCCCAGGCATGGACCTACACACCACTTATCAAACCATGCTGTGGCAGGCATCCCACATATAAAGTAGAGGAAGATGGGCATGGATGTTAGCTCAGGGCTAATCTTCCTCACCAAAAAAAAAAAAAACAAAAAAAACAAGAATTTACTAAGATAACTAAGTGAATGGCATTCCGTATTTACACAGAAATGTAGAAATCAGGGAAAGCCTCAAGAATTGAAAAAGCACTTTTTTGTTTGTTGGGGTATGTCTCATGCACAATTGAAATCATAGGAGTGAATGAACTCTCAAGGGAGAAAACAAAGAGAAAAAAGATGAAGACGACGCCTTAATCAAAAAAGTTGCCAAAGTGGCTGCAGCTCAGTCTGACAAAAAGGCACAAAAGCTGATCACAAAATAGATCACAAAACCTGAGGCAAGGCAGTTTCCAAACAGGCGGAAGCTACATATTACCTTTATATTTAGAAAAACACACTCACACAATAAATACTACGTAAAAGATGAAAATGAGGAAAAGAAGAGTGGACAATAATGTCAAAATAATATAAAAAATAAAGAAAAGTAAGGATTGCAAAAAGCTGATGGATTTGAAAATATGTAGGTTACACGTGACCTGGGGCCAAGTTTCAAGAGCATGGAGAAGATGGAAGTCAGATTAAGTAGTCAAAATGAGCCTATGTCACACTTCTCGATATTTGGCAAAGAAAGGAAAAACTAAAATATGCTAAAACTATATCTTAGTCCAAGGGCATGCTTTTTCAAAATAGCTAAGATGTGTTCACATTTGTCAACAATGACAAAGGAGCCAAAGTAAAGGGAAACCCTAAAAAAATTATGGAAATAGGAGATGTTCAGGGACAAAGGCCTAAGAAAGGCAGGAGAAAACAGGACTGTGTGCAGAGATATATTTTCACACCCAAGTTACTGATCCAAGTTAATCCCACAAAAGCCCAAGTCATCTAAATAAGTAATAATCTACTTGTCTTTCCCCTTCTCTTCAGTTGGCCAAGTACAAATAGCACGAATTAGTGAAGAGGAAGAGTGAAACAGAAAGGTAATTTTATAATATTTCAAATAAAAAAATCAATACACAACTTGAGTAAAAAAAGCATAATTCAGCACATATGATTTGAATCTGAAGTATTAAATGGTTTTTAAAAACTTTATACAATATATTAATTTTAAAGATATTTTACTTGAAGTATATTCTTTACATGACTTTATCTACAAATCTATTCCATTCACTGTGACGTATGTAACCGACTGACTTTATTTTCCACAAAATACTGGCCATTACCTAGAAATCAATGTTGCTTTGACTGAATATTTCTTAATGTTTTATTTTTCCAAGAATAAACTTTACATTGATAAGTTACGCATTAGAATCAACATTTCTCTCTTTTGATAAAGTTACATCTTACGTTGCCCTTACTTTACTTTAGAATTTTCAAAAGAAAATGCTAAACCAACTACTACTGCAACTACCTATTCTGCAGTCATTTTAATACTAGAAGTAGAGGCTTGTTCCTGACCTTTGCACACTCTCTCATACTGTTGTATAGCTTCTTCCACCTTCTGATTACTTAACTGCTCCTGCAAAATGAAAGAATATGAATTAAATGCAAATGTAACTTAAACACACAGCAATATTTAATAGTGGGACTTGAAAACAAGGTTCGATATTAGGTTTGAAATCTATCTCCTACAAGGCTGACTACTAGTCTCAAGCCTCCAAATTTCTTTCACCTTGGAGAAAAGAGCAGGGTGAGAGTGGTAATAAAAAAAATTTTTTTTTAAAAGAATACTTTATACCTTTAATCTACCTAAACGTTACTTCCCAGTCATTTTACTTAACATTTTAAGCTACCATGTTCTCTTACACACCACAAAAAGCAGAAACAGGGAAATGAAGATTTACTATGCACTATTTAACAAAGGAAGAACAAGAGAAACCACAAAAATAAAAAAAGTTCCCTATCAGTAAACTCAAAATGCAGAAAAAATAGGGCCCTCCATCCCCTGTAGGTAGAAAATAGCGAGGAGGTTTGAAAAAAATAACAGGAGCCTTAAGAGGCAAGATTAAATTCAGAGCACTGGAAATCCTCCAAGTCTAGTTTTAACCTATCAGGTAATCCAACCTCACTTCCTGTCTCATCTACCGTCAGCACTATCTCCTCACTTTGTAAGTCTCAGAATGAATCATTACAGAACTTGGAAATCTATGAATCCTATTATTAAAGTATAGATTGCTTTATTAGGATTATATTCAGTTAAAAATTAAAATCATGTGTTTACACCTGAATATTCATTAGTTTGTGTCATTTAAAAGCAAACATCCAAAAAATACAAATCCATTTTTTTACTGCTGCCTTATCCATTTAATTGATGTCAAGCAAAATATAACCATTCATAAAGGGATTTTGCTTTTTAAGTGTCCTTTTAAAAAATAATTTTTTATAAGACCTGAGCTTCATTTTCTTTTCACTTTTTATTTTGAAATGATTTTAGATTTGCAAAAGAGTTGCAAAGATAGCAGAGATTTCCTATATAACCACCACTTCGCTTCCCTTAATGTTAACATCTTATATTACCATGGTACTTTATTTAAAAATCAAGAAACATTGGACACAGAAAAATGAGCAGTTGAGTCTCAAAACTCTGTTATTTAGAACATGGAAACTGTTATTTAGAACAGTTTAATCATCTTTGTATGGAAAAAAGAAATTAGCATTGGTATAATACTTTACTTGGATTTCACCAGTTTTTCCACTGATGTCCTTTTCCTGTTCTAGGATCCCATACAGGACACAACACTGCATTCAGTCATCATGCCTCCTTAGTCTCCTCCAATTTGTGACAGTTCCTCAGTAATCCTTTTCTTTACAGACCCTGACACTTTTTATTGGTCAGATATTTTGTAGAACATCCTCAGTTTGGTTTGTCTGATGTTTCTCACAATTAGACTGAAGTAATGGATTTGGGGGAAAAATATCACAGCAGAGATGTACCCTTCTCGTCACATCAAATAAGGAAATACATGGTATCAATATGACTGACTACTAGTGATGCTCTTCTTCAACACTTGGTTAAGGTGATGTCTGCCAGGTTCCTCCACTGTAAAGTTACTATTTTTTCCTTTCTGTACTCTATTCATTAGAAGCAAATCACTATGGCCTTATTTTAAGCATTTTATTTTTATATTCCAAAAAAGATCAAAAGGGAATTTGTTATAAAAAACTGATAAATTTAATTAGACACTAAAATATACCAACACAATCTATTTAAACCATTTTTAAAAACAAAACTGTTACCTTGAGTTGCTGAATGGTTCGCTGTTTCATTTCTATTTCCTGAGAACACTGGTTTTTCTTTTTCTCTAGTTCATTAATTTTAATCCTTAGTAATTTCTCCTCATCACGCATAACAGACACCTACAAAGTAATGTTTATAAAACAAATTAAATATTTTTGAAAATACCAATTGCTTTTTCTTGTTTAAAATTCATGGCCACTGGTTCAAAGATTCATGTCCTTTAAAACCCATTAGAAAAATTAGATTCTAACATACTACATGATATGGCTTCAAATTATCAAAAAATTTCTTAATACTCTAAAGGAGAATGCATATGAAGAGATCATTTTCTTCTTACAGTATTTTAAGAATCTCAAACTCCATAAGTACTCTCAAAAAAGAATCAACATAGCACCTTGCATGCAACAGCAAAATCACTATCACAGAAAAATCAATCTAGATACTCTAGGGGTAAAATACTGGCTCATATTCCAAGGTTTATTGAGTAATGTGATCCAAGAATACAAGAAATACTTTAAAAGCTAATAGTGACACATAGAGGATGAAAATGGAACAATTACAAGATCAAAAGGTACTAATACAAGGGAAGGTCAATTGATTTTTGGTGTTACTAGTAACCTAATTCTACAAACTTGCTAGAGAAATCAAAAGCACTATGAACTACTATGCAAATCTTCACCAAAAAAAAAAAAAAAGAAAGAAACAAAGGTAATCTATGTACATCTCTTAAGCCAATTTCCATCAGAAGAATGCTAGAGATCTCAAAAACTGAAGGAAATTAACTCAAAAAAAGCCCCCTCATAAAAAGCATGGAGATGCCATAATAATAGTAGCTCTGAGTGGTTTGGTTTCAGGAGATTATTTTACATTTCTAGTCAGGCTTTCTCTATGTTCCAAATTTACTACAATAAATACATATTTCTCTTATAATCATATGTTAATAATATTTATTTTATCTGCTTATTTTTTTAAAAACTATGGGACTTCCAGTGATAAACACCATCCTCATCGATTTTACAGATATCAACTGTCAGCCAATATTAAATAGAGACTATGTGTTGCCCTGAGATGCACATAAGGACTGCCTCAGTTTCTATCCTGGCCCTACTATTTACTAGCTAAGTGAACGTGGACAAGTTATTTCTTTCAGTGTGTGTTTCCTTATCCATAAAATGGAAGTTAAAAACAGTGCCTACCCCTAATATTGGTCTGAGAATTAAATGAGATGATATATGTAAACTCAGAATAACTGACCTAGAGTAAGCTGTTACTATTACTATTATTATCAGCATTGACACTGCACATTGTTTGAGAAATAGACTACCAATCATTAGAGTAATGCTAAATAGTCATCTATATAATAAATCATTCCTTAAAAAGACATACTCCATAAATAGTGGTATGAAAAATCTTAAAAATAGAATAAATTTAAAAGCAATGCTTATGTATAGTTGATTTCATTTATAAAAATAAAAACATACAAGTATATGCAGTAATTATTTATACACATGTATTATATTAAAGGCATATAAAAAGATCTAGAAGAACACAGATGGACTGCCAAGAGTGGTCATACTTAAGAGGACAGAGAAATGAGACTGAGAAGAGGGCTTTCACTTCTATCTTCATTTCTTAAAAAATATTTCCTAATAATGTATTACAACAAAAAGTTTTTAATTGGAAAAAGGAGCTATTTTTTAATAACCAAGTAACTGGTTCCATGTGAACACAAGTCAATTATGCCATGCTTGATAATGCTTACTGATAATCATGATGCCCAGAAATAGGATCTTAAACCAAGAAGTCACATGCCTGGAAAGCAAACAATCCAAGTCTTTTAGTGACAAACAAGGGCTTTTCCAAATGATGCCATACTGCTTTTAACTTGCTGATTTGACTAAAAATTTTTCTATTGCCTAATTACAGTTTAGGTCATCTTTACTGTCTTACATTTCTAATCGAATCTACCTGTTAAATGTTTGTCACATGGCCTAGAAACTTTCTGTGTGTAATTTTCAGAAACAACATAAATTTTGCATTTTATCTATGGTGGTATTGTTTATATTTTTCTTCCACTGATTAAAAACTTCATTACATTTCCCTTATTATGAATGAATACATATTCATTGTAAGAAATTAACAAATGCAACAAGTAAAACTTTAAAAAAATTACCTACACTGCCATTACCTAAGATAATCAAAATATAAAATAATTACATTTTGATATATTTCCTTGCAGTCTATATTGTTATGCAAATTTTTCAGTTTTAATCCTAGAGATATAAAATTGGCTCTAGTTTCTATTACTTAACATTATCACATAAGTATTTTCCCATATTATCATAAAAACTGAGAACTTATCACCGTACTTAAATCAGAATCCTGCTAAATATACTGACAATGAATATAGGAACTTAACCACTGATAAAGCTATGGGAAACACAATTTACACATCTCTACTATAAATGAAGCAACAGAACTTGGGCCCAAGCTTCCAGCCATCAGAGTGCTTAAGAAGCTGGCAGGGAAAAAAAGAACCTCTGCTCACAGAAATGCAGAGGGTACTAGCCGCAAGAGCTTCTCCTCCTCTACCTCTTCTTTCCTACTACAGGCCTGACAGGCATGAAAATTATTTATTTAGTCAAAAAGATCATACTCATTCTTATTTTTTGATTCATTTTTAGTTAACAATAATACTATATTATTGTGGGAGTTTTCTTATGTTAAATGAAAAATTGTTCTAGAACTTCAATTTTAAGTAGTTTAGACGAAACTAACTAATCCACTGTTGAAAACAAAAAATGTTGGATAAAAAAAAAAAATTGTGATCTCTTTAAACGCACTGAGGAACTAACAAGAAAAGTAAGAAATACTGAGACAAGAAAACTATGTGAGAAAAGAATCAGAAATAAGTGGAGCACTAACTGATGCTGGCTTTTGTTTTGAGGACATTCACAGAATAACGTGGTCTGATTTTCAAAAGAATGGTAAAAAATAATGCTATTAAAATAAAGAACTTCAATCATTAAAAGAGAAAAGGTAAACTAGAAGATATTTGCAATATATTTAACTGACAAAGAGTTAGATTCAAGAATAAAATTCTACACAATAATGAAAAATGATAGACAGCACAATTAAAAGAAAATGTGAACAAACAGATTTTACAGAGGGGAAACTGGAATAGACAAACAGCCAATAAAAACATGAATAGATACTGCACTTGATTAGTAATTAGAGGAATGCAATTTCAAACCACAATGAGATACCCCTTCATATCCTCTGACCCAGCAATTCTACCCCGTGGAATCTAAACTCTTGTACAGTAGTACCATGAGTATGTATAAGATAAGAACACTGTTTCTAAGAGAAAAAAAAGGAAACAATCTAAATGGTCAACAGAAGAATGGATAAATAAATTGTAGTTATGTCACACAATGGAGTACTATATAGCAGTGACAGTAATTAATTACAACTGTACATAAATGAATCTCAGCAATATGATGTGAAAACTAAGTCTCAGAGGATTATAATATATTGCTTAGAGATAAATAACAAATATGGTTTAAATTATATTTTTAAAAGTTAAGAAAAGATAAAGACAAAGCATTTAGTATATTAACTTCTATGGGGGTAGGAAACATGGAATAGAGATGGGACCCATAAGCATTTGTTGTCTCAATTTCTTCGGACCTCACACACTTAAGTACTCTTTTGTAACTAACTCAGAGTAATAAAAGATAAGTCTTTAAAACTGTTTCAGCTTTTAGAAAAAGTCTAAGTATGATACAAAATCAAGCAGTCATAAAAGAAAAATTAATTTAAATTTATGAAAATCAAAATTTGCTCCAAGGCAAAAAAGAACCATAATCAAAATCAAGAAAAATGGCAATGGGATGGGATCTGCAATTCATATCCTTAAAAGGCTAATTTCCTGAATATGTAATAAGCTCTTATAAGGCAATAATAAAAAAAAAAAAAAGCCCAACAACCCAAACTAAAAAGACAAAGGATATGAATACACAGTTCATAGAAAAAAAAAAAAAAGATACAAATGGCTTTTAAACAAAAAGATGCTCACACATAACTAGAGAAATGCAAATTAGAATTATAGTGAGATACACTATGCACCTGTCAAATTAGCAAATATCAAAAAAGTATGATAAAATACTACTTTATGAATAAGGGTGTAGAGAAAAAGACATTGCTTTATTCTCATACCTTACTTCTGGCATGTAAATTGGCATAATCTCTAAAGAACAAAATAAATATCAAAATTACAAATGTATGAAACAGTCACTCATAAATTCCACTTTTAGGAATTATACCACAGAAAGACTTGCAAATGTTCAAAATGACACTGCTGCATAAGTTGAATCAGCAGAAGACTGGAAACTATCTGAATTGTCTAACAAGAGTGAAGCAATTAACTAATGGTAAATAAATTTTATAGTCATAAAAAAAGCTTATTTGGAGACTCTTTATATCCTGATATGAAATGACAGCCAAGATATATTATTAAGTGAAAAAACAAAGGTTCACAACAGTGTTTACAGGATATTTTCAGTTTTTATAGGAAGAGAAAAAAAAGAGAAGGCAGGAGACGTAAAGAGAAAGAAAATATTTGGTAACATTTGATGACTTGGAGAGAAACCTCATGGCTGGAAGGGGTGGGAGGGAGTTTTTTTCCTCACTATATACTACTTTTGCATGTTGTGAATTTGAAATCATATGACTGTATCTTCTATTTTTTTTTGCGAGGAAGATTAGCCCCAAGCTAACATCTGATGCCAATCCTCCTCTTTTTTAGCTGAAGAAGATTGGCCCTGAGCTAACATCCATGGCCATCTTCCTCTATTTTATACGGGACGCCGCCACAGCATGGCTTGACAAGCAGCACATCGGTGCACGCCCAGGATCCGAACCCGCCAACCCTGGGCCGCCAAAGTGGAGCGCGCACACTTAATCACTATGCCACCAGGCCGGCCCCTCTATCTCCTATTTTAATAACAACTTGTTACAACTGCACTGCATACTCTCCTAAATACTATCTGCAAACAAAAGTTTGCTTTTCACTTTTTAGGGGGAACTTGAACTTAGCAGCCCTTAAAAGAAAATAAAGATGATAATCTTATATAAGGCACATATTTTTCTTAATGTTGGACATTCTTTAGTTTGTTTAAGCTGACTAAATTTTCTTTGGTGAAATAATCATTCTCACCTTTTTAAGAAAAACTATGAAGTTGACAAATGTTCTGTTTATCCTAAAACTAGTCTAAACTTACATAAGAAAAACAATCTTTATCATTTAAATTGGCCACATGACTTTTCAAATAATCTACCTCTTTCTGTACTTGCTCAATCTGCTTTTTGGCATCAGCCAGTTTCTCTTTCAGCTCAGCATAATCTTCTTCCTTCCTCTGAAGATCTGCTTTCAGATTCTGGGTAAGAGCAAAGCTGGCAGAGAGCTCCTCTTTCAACCTGAAAAACACAAACCACTTTTCTATAGTGACACACCGCCATCCACTTAAGATCATCCACGTGAGCTAGTAACAATCTATAAAATTGCATCTTTTCACAAATTCGGAATGTCCAAACCACGAATGAGTCCATGAGTCCTTCAGAGAGAATTTCAGGAGATTTTATAAACAGATCTTTGCATGTAATTTTGTTCCAAAGGTTTATATAAACAAAAGTTAAAGTTCTTCACTCATCATACTTGCTATATTTACCAGATTAAGTTATGCCCACTTAAATTATTTAAAAGCTATATAAGAAAATCAATAAAATGAATGTTTTGCATATTTTAAAATATTTTAATAACATTTAGCTTACTTTTCTGTTTCTTGCCAGTTGGTTTCTTTTTCTTCTTCCTTTAATTGAAGTGAATGCTTTGCATCTTGCAGGTTATTTGTTAAATGTGTGATTTCTTCTTTTAACTTAACTTCCCTTTCACTTAATTCTTTGGTGTTTTTGATAGAATCCTGAAGATTTGCTTGAAATTCCTTTAGATTTTTTTCTAGGTTTAAGATGATAGTTTCTTTTTCCAAAATTTCTTGCTCTAACTTGGCTGAACGGCTACATTCATCTTTCTGAGTTTCTAAGATTGCTTCAAGTTCCTTTACTTTCACTTTATAACAAGCAACATCTTGTGTAAGTTCTGAAAGTGCTCTCTTTCCTTCAACTACATGCTGTACTTGCAAATCAAGACTAATGTTTTTTTCTTGCAATTCTTCTTTCAGCTGCTGTATAAGACTTTCTTTCTCTCTTAGTAGGTCATCTCGATTTTTATTGTCCCTCTCCTCTATTTTTAGTCTATTGTTTTCATCCTTATAGCCTTTTACTTCTGCCTGTAATTTTTCAATTTGTTGCTCCAGTTCCTGGATCTGATGACTTTTTTTGGAAGAAGCCTTTACAATCTCCTTACATTCTTCCCAAATGGCTTCAATACGAGAGTGGAAAGAACTTTCCCTACTGAGTTCTTGAATATGATATTCTTTAACCTGCTTGCTTACCAAATAATCATTATCCAAAAGGTGTAACTGTGTATTTGGCAAATTATTCTCTTGAGAACCACCTGACAGATCCCTGAGATTGAGTAAATCTATGTTTGAGATCTGAGAAACTGAATCAAGTGTACGTAGTTCATCTATTTTTGCTTGCATTAATTTTATTTGTGAAACATTATTTGTGATGTTTCTTCTAGTGGTTTCTAGCTCCTTTGACAATTTCATGACCTTTTCCTCCTGTTCTTGATTTATACCTCTCTGCATATGTAATTCAGAAATTGCATTGTCATAATTGGACTGAATTTGTTGGACTTCTATACTTAAAGTAAAACTCTTTTTTTCAGAAAAAGAAAGTTCCTGTTGCAAACTAACAATCTGTTTATTTAATTCCGCTTTTTCTTCCTTTTCATTTTTAAGTTCATTCTCAACAATGAGTAAATGTGTTTTCAGCTCATTATTTTCTTGTAAAACTCTAATGTCTTCCTCATCTTCTGAAATGCTCTGTCGCATTTCTTCACTTTTCTTTTGGTCTTCAGTGACAGTTGGACTAACATGTATAGGTCCTTTAAAAATAAGAAAATTGTTACTAATCTGGTAAACCTTAATAATATTAACCAAAAATTTACCATATAAGCCAATATTCAAACATATGAAACATATGAAAGCAAACTTTTAATGAAAAACAGAAATAAGCTATTGAGTGAAAAAGAAAAAACAGGTTGCACAACATACACAGTATAAGCCCATTTATGTAAAAATTACAGTTTCTAAGTTAATGTAGAGAGACAGAGTTAGCAAAAGAAGTACACCAAAATGACAACAGCTACCTCTGAGAAGGATTACCAGTTATTTCTACTTTCTTTTTATAACTTTCAATATTATTTAAAGTTTCTACCACAAATGTTTATTATCGTTACAATATGCCACAGAGGGGAGATCACATGAGATACCCCAAAGCAGACATCTCGTATCCTAAAGAACAGTTTTTTGTTTTTTTTACATCAGTATGAACTCATGCATTTAAACACAATTGAGATGTTTTTGTGTTTTTTGTGAGGAAGATCAGCCCTGAGCTAACATCCATGCCAATCTTCCTCTTTTTGCGGAGGAAGACTGGTCCTGGGCTAACATCTGTGCCTATCTTCCTCCACCTTATATGGGACACCGCCACAGCATGGCCTGACAAGCGGTGCATCTGTGCGCACCCGGGATCTGAACCCAGGCCACCAGCAGCGGAGTGCGCGCACTTAACTGCTATGCCACGGGGCCAACCCCTAAAGAACAGTTTTGTGTGTGTGTGTGAGGAAGATCAGCCCTGAGCTAACATCCATGCTAATCCTCCTCTTTTTTTTTGCTGAGGAAGACCGGCTCTGAGCTAACATCTATTGCCAATACTCCTCCTTATTTTTCCCCCAAAGCCCCAGTAGATAGTTTTGTGTCATAGTTGCACATCCCTCTGATTGCTGTATGTGGGACTTGGCCTCGGCATGGCCAGAGAAGCGGTGCGTCACTGCACGCCTGGGAGACGAACCCAGGCCACCAGTAGCGGAGCGCGCGCACTTAACCGCTAAGCCACGGGGCCGGCCCACCTTAAGAACAGTTTTAACATACAATTATATTACAGATCTACTAAATGAGTGATTTGAAAACTGAGTACCTTAAATTTTCATAGCTAAAATTGCGGGAAAAAAATGGTTGAAATTCTGGAAAGTCTAATGTAGCCTTAGCCCTCACAAGCTGTATAACTCAATAAACTGCTTAACCCTATGACTCTTTCTTCAAATGTAAAATGGAAATAATAATACTACTACCTATCTCAGAGTTATCGTGAAGATCAAGACAAGAAATGAGCTTAGAACACTGTGCTTGGGATCTAGTTAGCTATTATTAGAACCTGAAAATCTGTACACAAGAGTTCAGCTAATTAAAAACTGAATAAGTTAGCCTTCTTTAGGCTCAATATCTACATTTCTAGAATAAGGGTATTTCTACCCGCCCTATTACTCTGCAGGATAGTGTTAAGAGGCTAAAATGTGTTAATATATAATGTATGTTAAAGCATTTTGTACATGTTACATAAATACAAAATCTTTAACAATTATAATAGTTAATATAGATTATACTATACCCAGAGTAGATGCACTATTAGCTAAAACTTAATTCTTAACATTCACATAGACAAATTAACTCACCTCCACAACTGTCTAGTATAAATTACAGTCACACAGCACTTAATGAGGAGGATGCGTTCTGAGAAATGCATTGTTAGGCAATTTCATCATTGTGCAAACTTCACAGAGTATACTTACACAAACCTAGATGGTATAGCCTACTACACACCTAGGCTATACGGTATGAATCATTATGGGACCACTGTCATATATGCAGTCCGTGGCTGACCAAAATGTCGTTATGCAGCACATGACTGCATGCTCAAGTTATTCTCGTAGATTTTATAATTAAATCTTGAAACATAATTCTCAATTCTCTAGATACACAAATTTATCTTTTTATGTTTTCATAAAATTTCCATTATTATAATCAGGGTCCGATGAGTGTCTCACATCCTAGGAAAATTACTTCAAAACATTTAAGAATCTGACTCTCCAAGTTTTTAAATTCTTTTCCTGTTTTATTTCACTTCATGGTCTGACGTTTATACTTGAACTTTCTATACATCATTGCTCTGATATAATCAACTCCATATGTCCTTTTGACCTTCATTCACTCCCCTACTGACATTTATCTGTCAATTTCACCTATATTTACATTTGGATCCTCACTAAGCACGTAAGAAACAAATTCCTCAGGCTTAAAGGTCTCAGATATAATATGAAGTACAAGCAGTAGTAATCCATAAAAGCAGAAGACAGATGTAAGGAAGGGTTGGTTTGAAATCCTCATTAAGAAACCTATTACTTTCAGTTGGTTTCTGTCCAATGAATATAAGAAGTGTATTTTACAGTTCTTTTCTTTTTAGTGAGCCCCCATATTATCCTACAAATTAGCACATTATATTATATTGAAATAATGTTTGTCACTCTCATCTACCAGATTCCAAACTCCCTGATTGTAGACTGTCTTACTCATCTTTATGTACCTGAACAATAATCCTAAATGAAATATTTCTGAAATTCAGCTGCATCACATGTTTTCCTTTTTAAAGAATATCATTGTACCATAAAAATATAATTTTTGCAATCAGTAACCTATTTTGGTTCTAGATATGTGCAAATTCATAATCTGACATGCCTCAGTTATATTAACTTGGTTACTTTAGCATAATTTTATGTTTAAAATTTTAAGGCCCTCTCCTTACAACATCTTTTTATAAAAGGGATTCTCTAGCTTTATTGGGCAGAATTACCAAGGGAGTTTATTAAACTGCAGATTCCTAGTAACAAACACCCAAGATTCTGATATGGTAAATCTGGAGTATATTGTTACTTGCAACACTTTGAGAATTACTGCTCTGTGTATTTATTTTTAAAAATTTCTGCAAGAAGTTGACAGTCACCTCTGTAATACATTTGGAATCTAAACATATCAATCTGCTTCACATCAAAAATCTCATGTAGTTATGAGATTCAAGCCTGCAAATTTAACCCCTGCCTCTGGCAGGCTCTTGTGTATCCAAGATGAGAGATGATAGTAGCCCATGGGATGCACACGTACTGAATCTGTTCAATGAAGAATGCAACATTTTTGAAATCATAAAAAGCTCTTTGAGATGAAATCTACCATCCTATTCTGTCTTCCTATAAACTAATCACTGTTGAAGTTGTGAGCAAAATAAAGGAAAAGCATAAGCATTTATAAAAGGTTGTTCAGATACCATTATACAATACGGTGGAAAAAACTTAAGTGATTGTTCTTAAGATTTTTAATCCTATGACTCCCTTTGATAAATTAAAATCCTAGCCCTCTCCCAGCATTACTCTGATACCAAAGCCCGATAAGGACACTAAAGAAAAGAATAGTACAGGCCAATATCCCTGATGAACATAGATGCAAAAATCCTCAACAAAATATTAGCAAACCAAATTCAACAGTACATTAAAAGAATCACACACCAAGAAAAAGTGGGATTTATCCCAATGATGCAAGAATGGTTCAACATGTGCAAATCAATGTGATACACATTAACAAAAAGAAGGATAAAAATCACACGATCACCTCAATAGATGTAGAAAAAGCATTTAACAAAATTCAACATCCTTTCACGATAAAAACTCTCAACAAACTGGGTAGAGAGGGGACATACCTCAACAGAATATATGGCAAGGACATATATGACAAGCCCACAGCTAACATCATACTCAACAGAGAAAGGATGAAAGCTTTTCCTCTAAGATCAAGAACAAGACAAGGATATCTACTCTCACCACTTCTATTCAACATAGTGCAGGAAGTCCTAGCCACAGCAGTTAGGCAAGAAAAAGAAATAAAAGGCATCCAAATTGGAAAGGGGGAAATAAAATTGTCCATTTGCTGATGACATGATCTTACATATAGAAAATCCAAAAGACTCCACCAAAAAACTATTAGAACTAATAAAAGAATTCAGTGAAGTTGCAGGATACAAAATCAATACATAAAAATCTGTTGCATTTCTATACACTGATAACAAACTATCAGAAAGAGAAATTAAGAAAACAATACCATTTACAATAGCATCAAAAAGAATAAAATACTTAGGAATAAATTTAACCAAGGAAGTCAAAGATTCATACACTAAAAAGACACAAATAAATGTAAAAGTAATCCATGAACATGGATTAGAAGAATTAATATTGTTAAATATCCATACTACCCAAAGCAAGCTATAGATTCAATGCTACGGCATTGAATTCCAATTCCAATGGCATTTTTCACAGAAAGAGAAAAAAAAAATCCTAAAATTCCTAGAAGAAAACATAGAGGGTAAGCTCCTTGACATTGGTCTTTGAAGACGATTTTTTGGATTTGACACCAAAAGCAAAGGCAATAAAAGCAAAAATAAACAGGTGGGACTACACAAAAACAAAAAGCTTCGGCACAGCAAAGGAAGCCAACAAAACGAAAAGGCAATCTATGGAATGGGAGAAAATATTTGCAAACCATAAATCCAATAAGGCGTTAATATCCAAAATGTACAAAGAACTCATATGACTCAATAACAAAAAAACAAATAACCCTACTAACAAGGACCTGAATAGAGGTCCTTTGCCCTCTATTTTTCCAAAGAACACATAACAAATAGCCAACAGATACATGAAAAAGTGCTCAATATCACTAATTATCAGGGAAATGCAAATCAAAACCACAATGAGACATCACGTCACACCTGTTAGGATGTCTATTATCAAAAAGACAACATAAGAAATGCCCGTGAGGATGTGAAGAAAAGGGAATCCTTGTACACTGTCAGTGGGAATGTAAACTGGTGCATCCACTAGGAAAACCAGTATGGAGGTTCCCCAAAAAATTAAAAATAGACCTATCATATGACTCAACAATCCCACTTTTGGATATATATCCAAAGGAAACAAAATTTCTATCTCAAAGAGGTATCTGCACCACCCTGTTCATGGCAGCATTATTCACAATACTCAAGACATGGAAACAACCTAAGGGTCCATCAACAAATGAATGGATAAAAAAATGTGGTGTAATGGAACAATGGAATATTATTCAGCCTTAAAAAAAAAAGGAAATCCACCTATTTTCAACAACATGGATGAACCCGGAGAACACTATACTAAGTGAGAGAAAGACAAATACTGCATGGTATCAGTCACACGCAAGTGAAAAAAAGATTATTCAGAGAAACAGAGAGTAGACTGGTGGTTGCCAGAGGATGGGGGTTGAGGAAATAGAGAGAGGCTGGTAAAAGCGTACAAGCTTTCAGTTACAAGATAAATAAGGTCTGAGGATCTAATGTGTAACACAGTGACTATAGTTGATAATACTGTATTGTATAACTGAAATTTGTTTAAAGCGTAGAACTTAAGCGTTCTCACTAAAAAAGAGAGAAAAACAAGGTAAATACGTGAAGTGATGGATGTGGTAATTAATGATGGTATGGTGGGAATCATGTATATGTATATCAAATCATGTTGTACACTTTAAATATATTACAATATAATTTGTCAATTATACCTCAATAAAGCTAGAAAAAAAAAAAAATCCCAGCTTTCTCAAGGTACTGATTTGTCCCCATTGAGAGTATGCCCCTATCTAAAAATCACTATATAATCTGGGAATCTCACCTCCCTACTCTATCCAAGAATTTATCTAGTTTTACTTTCCATAGTGTATATGCAAAAACAAGCTTTATTAGTTAAGTTTTCATTTTTCAAATACAATCCATATTCTTTTCCTTCACCCAATTGTCTAAATGCTCTTAGGTAGCTATAATCGTGTAATCCCATTATTGGATCCCAAAATCCCTTTTCTTTAATACAGACTAATTTTAAAAGCTCACTGGACAAGGTTTTATTATCTATAACTTATATTGTCTCTCCTGCCTCAAAGAGGATGGGAAACACGTGGCATTTACCCTTGCTGTATAGCCTCACTTCCTTAAAAGCTGCTGAGTTAGTTTTGAAGCTTTTCTTATGTTTGTAGTTACATCTTCCTTATTTATTGCCTCAAGATTCTCAGTTTATTCTAAGGATTCCAGCTACTCTGGAATCTTAAAAGATTTGTCCTTATTCACTTTTACAACAAACTTGCCCACTTACTCTTACCGATTTTTTTTTAATAATCTTCAACCAATATATTATTTTTCATCAGATTGTCTCCTAGCATCTTATAAAGTTGTGGCAAGTCATCTCAAAGTGGAATAACCTGGACTACTCCACTGGTTCAGACTTCTGTTGTACTTCCCATTTAATGTAATTCTCTACTTATGATGCTATTTTCACACCTATGACTTCATCAGTGGAAATGACTAATCGAGATAACTAAATGATGATGATTAAGAGTCCTGGATTTCTTTTTCCTAACTTAGAAACGTTTTAAAAAAATCCTCTTGCTCTTTAAAAAAGACAAGTTATAAAAATGTCTGAACCCTTTATCAGGAGAGATGGGATCTAAGCAAGTTAAAAATGACAACAATCAGAAATTCAGAGCTCACAAATAGATCCTGACTATCCTGAGCGAAGAGATTTGAGTCATGCATACCATATGGATCTAGTCCCTAAGCCCTGAAGTGAATATAGAAAGCTCAATAAAACTTTTGTGATCAAGCAATGTTGTTTTCTTAATTTTACTGTATTTTAAGAACTAGGATAATTACATAATATAAAGTAAATCAAACTAATTTGTTTTGTGCCTGATTTTCTTTTTCATGTATTCATACTATTCTTTCAGAAATTTTAAAATGTTTTATATCAAAAGATTTATAGAACATATTCAGGACAGCCTTGTCAGAGAGAGATTAAAGTATCAGTTCAGCAACAAAGATGGGAAAAAGACTCTAAAGTATCTAAGGTTAACTTATAAAAAGTAAACATAAACAATGAGAATGGAATGCCATCAACACTTTAACTCAATATTTACACTACATTCAACTATACTTATACTGCTTACTCTATTTTGTTATAAAAATTACAGTTTTGATTGAAAAATTACAGGTAAGTCGATTGTGTCATATCTCCGGTTTGTCTCCTTTATCACTATCTGAAGGCTTATTTCTTGGACTGTTTGCATGGTTACCAGCTTCCTCAAAGTATAGATACAGTGACCTCAAACTAGTATATTCATTTTCACAGGGAAATCACTTTGCACTTCCTTTTAAGAACAGAAAATATGCCTCCTAGGGGGCCGGCCCCGTGGCTTAGTGGTTAAGTGCGTGCGATCCACTACTGGCGGCCTGGGTTGGGATCCCGGGCGTGCACTGACGCACCACTTGTCCGGCCATGCTGAGGCCGTGTCCCACCTACGGCAACTACAAGGACGTGCAACTATGACATACAACTATCTACTGGAGCTTTGGGGAGAAAAAAAGGAGGAGGATTGGCAATAGATGTTAGCTCAGGGCCGGGCTTCCTCAGCAAAAAGAGGAGGATTGGCATGGATGTTAGCTCAGGGCTGATGTTCCTCACAAAAAAAAAAAAGCAGCTTTAAAAAAAGAAAATATGCCTCCTATGAAACTATAAACACTCGATCCTATCCTAGTGGTTATAGCAGTCACATATTTTGTTCTGGAGATTTTTTAATAGCAGGTAGAGGAAGGAGGGTTATAGCTATGATTTTCATAGGATCCCTCATGTAGTTCCTATAATCTCTAATAACATGAATAGTCAAGAAATAACCAAATTGGTTGTGAATTTAAGGAGAAAAAAATATTTTGTTACCTAAACTTACTCAAATCTACCCACATCCAAATTATTTATAGTTAACAACTATAGTTCTTAAATAATCTTCTTTTTCATGAATGGGTTACCTTTAGGATTAGTCACACTACATATATTATTTGCTCCTGGCCACTCTCACTTCCTGGTGAACTATTGATCCTACATTCTCAACTACTCTATGGCACTGACCAAAGTGAAACAGAGAGGAACAGTGCTATGGAAATCATAGCAAAGTTATCCTCCCAGTAGCAAAGGCACCCCTCCTTCAATGGATAACAGAAGGCTGACTATGCATATTAGTCTCAATCTATCAGCTCACACAAGCACTGTACATCCTATAAACCATGTATCTAATGCTATATTATCTTTTAAGGCATCTACTTCTGAAAATATTCATTTTACTGAGGTTCTATGAGATATTTATTAAGTTGGTGTATTATCCAATGGTTTTCATCCTTGACAACCTCAGGAGGCAGGTAGTATTTATTTTACTAATCAGGAAAGTAAGACTTAACTTATCCATTTTTCTCAAGGTGAAGCAGCTAGTCAGGTTTTAAAGCTAATGTGCTTTCTCTTAGAAGCCCTACCTCCCTGATATATCACTTTTCCAAAAGAAATAATGAATAGCTTAGAGAGAATATAAAAGTTGATATGTTTTTCCACATAAACAGGGAGCTATAGTATAGAGTAAGCATGCACCCACATTGTTTTAGTAATTCTACAGCAAATACATCAACTAGAGCGCATTTGTCTTTGGTAATGTTCAGCTCAAAGCCTTACTGGCAAATGTCCTTTTCTCCAAATGAATAAAGAATGCACAGGAAGACGACAATGTGAAGAAATTTTGGCAAAAAAAGGTACTATAATTATGAAAATGAAAGTGCTAAGTTTTAACTATTATAAGCACAGAAGTAAAAGAATTATAGGCACGCAAAAGTGATAAAAGCATAAAATCTAAAAATACATTTATTAAACTAAAAGACAGCTTTAAATACACCCATTCTCTAGACAGTTTATAACATGTTAGCATAAAAATTAGTGACATTTAGATTTCCTCAAGGTTTTTCCTTAGACAAGTAAATTTCCTCCTATTTGCAACTTTTCTGTTTACTGGTTTAGGAATTAGCTTTCTTAAAAGCCTTCTGCTGGCAGCTGAAGCAGTACCTTTCTTTGCTGGTGGTTCATCTTGTTGAAGTTCATTTTCATTTAATCTTTTTCTTCCTAAATAGATTTTCATCTTGCTGTCCTTAGGCATTTCAACTGTTTCATTACAAGCCAATTTACTGTTTATTATTAAAGAAGATGTACCAGCCTTCTCCTAAAGCAAAATAAATTAAGATTAGTTCACATATAGAAAGCTAGAAGAAATGTAAAAACAATATAAATTTTGTTTCAATAGTGTATCACAAAAATTTTATTTTCAAATTTGTCCAAACATTTTCTTAGTTATTTAAGTCTCACCCTAAAATAACTGATGGCTCTGGCAAATGAGTAATATTAACTAATTTGTACACTCATTAAGGAGGACAAAAAAAACTTGCCCTGAAATCACTTAAGCATGCAGTTTCACCCTGATACCTACAAACCAATTCACCTTTAGATTTCCCTAGGTGATCAGCTGGGTTAGATTTGTTTGGGGATAAGTGTAGAACCCTAAGACACTTACCCCCTAAGTCACATTCAAAATGTGCTTTGAAAAGAAAAACATGAAAACACTATGTCAAAATTGTTTCTTATAGATACTTTTAATTCAAATCTCCAGGTCCCACTCTAGAAACTCAACAATTGTTTTGCTGAGCCTCTCAAAGACAAGTAGCATTGTCTTACACTTGAACGGCTCCCAGAAAAATAGTTTTGATCTTAGCTTCTAGTCTACGAATATTCAAAGATATACAGTCTACATACAGCTTTAAAACTGAGCTCCCAGTTTATCTAAACGACAAAAATCATTTAGATTTTTATTTTTTAAGGAAAATACTATGCCTTCCCAAAAGCCTAGCAGAAAAATGGTACAATACAGTCTTATCCAGAAAGAGGACAGGTGAACTCAACAGTTCAGTGCAAGTCTATAAAGGAATCAAAGGTATGGTAAAGGCAGGGATTTTTTAAATGCAGAGATTAAATCCCTACATACTGGTAGCAATCTATTTTGGGGAAAAAAAGCATATGAAAAACAAAACATCATTTTACATCATAAAATCAGCAAACAAATGTTTTATTCTTAGGAGCTATAGATAAAACGACTTTTTTAAGTCATAAAGTAATGGGCTATTTAAAAAAAGCAAAGTTTTTTTTAGCTATCCCCAAAACAGAGAATGTCATGAAGAACAACCTCCATGCTTTCTCACAATTAGTCCTTTGGTGTCACTGATAAATGACAAAATTCTGGGATAGATGGGTCACACCTCTGACAGAGCTTGAGTTTTCAAACACTCCCTGACAGGTTCAAGTTGTCTCCTCCCCCACTCTTAACACCTAGCACAACGACCTGATGACTTTTTTCCTCCTTCAAATTACACGATCTTCATCAAAAAATCTATCCTCCACAAGTCACAGTTATTGAAAGGAGGGTTTTCTGCCCCCGAGGGTACGCTTGGTTGGAAGGATGATACAGAGCCACCATTCAAAACAAAGTTTTTCATCATTAGAAAGTCTGCTTTCAAGACAAGCTCTGAACAGTGACCCTAGATCAGCAGCTAATCAGCACAGTCAGGATAAGTTTCAAATCACTTTGAGTTTGTGTACTTATGTGAACAATTTAGCAACACTGTTTTAAGTTAGTTGATAAAATAGGGTCTAAAGCCTATCTAAAAAGCTTATTTATAGGCAAGGACTATTAAATATGGAATATTGCTTATTTTATATTGCTTTTTTGCTATTAAACATTGCTAACACACTGTGGTATGAAAACATACTGCAGAAATAAATATAATCCCTTGTTAAATTTCCAACAACTTTCTTTGAAGTTGTAGTCGCCAATCTCTGGGCTTTTCTTTTTCTTGTTTTTATTTTCCTTCACCAACCCAAAGACTTAAAATCCAAATCAAGTGATCAGAATAAAAGCAGCTGGTGAATAACCAAATAGAAGTGTTGAGAGCCTGGAGGCCCAGCAATTCAGTTACTGGAAAAAGTCAAGCCCCAAACCTCAAAAAGCCTCCCCTCCCCTTATTTCATAAATCAATTTCCTTTTCTTAATCTCTACTAACACTACCCAACCACCCTAAATCAATGTCCTCATCAACTATCACTTGAATTCTCCCAAAAGGCTTCAAACTGGTATCTCTGCCTCCAGTCTAACCCCATCTCAATCCCCTCCTCCAACTTTCCAAAAATATCTACTCAAACTAAAAATCAACTTTGCTACTACTCTCCTTAAAATTAATGACTCCTCACTGCCTAGAGAATAAAACCTAAACTCTTTAATGGAGTATGTTTAAGGCCTTCTACCATCTTACCCCAATCTACTGCTCCCAGCCTCATTTCCCACCTCTCCTTGCTTCAGATTTACTTCTTGAACAACAAATTGCTTGTACTTTCCTACACCAATTAAAGGCTTCTCATTTCCATGACTTTGGGCATTCTGATTCCCATACCTGGAAGGCCAATGTATCTTCTTATTCCTCATGGCTACCAAGTGCCCCCTCTCCCTACTTTCAACTGGCTAAATTTTACTCATCCTTTAAGGCTCAACTAAATCACTTTCATCTCCAGAGTATTCCCTAAACCCCTACCTATTCTGAGCTTCTTGCACATATTGACCCCCACTGTGCATTTCATTATGTTTATGTGGTTTCTCTCTTACTGAGGATTCACTAAGGGGACTAGTTTTTATTAATCCATATAATTCCCAGAATCTAGCACAGTAACTGGCACACAGTAGACACTCAATAAATGTTTCTTGACTGAAATAAATCATTTTATGCTTCTCATCCTTACTCTCAACCTTATTACAAGGGTACTTCTCCCAGTTCAGGCACAGAAAAGTCAGATAGATTGAACAGTGCATCTAATAAATACCAAAAGAGAGGCCTGCTACCAGAGATTAGACAGGGGGTAAGCTACTCTTCCAGAATGCTCCTTATTTACCCCTGTAGCATCAAAAGCCCACCTAATGTTGAGATGATTCAGGGAATGTTGGTGGGTATTAGAGCTTGACTGTCAAGAGACAAAGGAGGGTCAAGATATCACTCTTGCTTCTTCTAAACAAAGCAGAGAGGTTTGGCTATTAGTTTACTCAGCCTAGTAACACATATTTTACCATTTCTACTTCAAAAAATAATTTGAAGGAGTTTACAATAAAACACATAACAGAAAACCAAAAACATTGTTTAAAAAACAGGATTAAAAGATAGGCTGATTATCCTAGACTAAACTAACTGAATATGAAACTACCTAAATTTGTATTTATGAAAGGCTAAAAACTCTTAAAAACTCAAACATGCCACAATACACAATGCAATTTTTTAAAGAAAATATCCTTGCTATTAAGCATATGAACATTAGCAAAAATGCATATAATAAAAACAAGCCTCGGGGCCGACCCCGTGGCGTAGTGGTTAAGTGCGCGCGCGCTATGCTGCAGTGGCCTGGGGTTCGAAGGTTCGGATCCCGGGTACGGACTGACGCACCGCTTGTCAAGCCACGCTGTGGCGGCGTCCCACATAAAGGAGAGGAGGATGGGCACAGTTGTTAGCCCAGGGCCAATCTTCCTCAGCAAAAAGAGGAGGATCGGCGATGAATGTTAGCTCAGGGCTGATCTTCTTCACACACACACACACAAAAACCACTAATTCCATTGAATTTCATTCATAGTTCTATAGAGATAGATAGAGATCTCTATGATCCGTGGATATCTAAGCACATCCAAGTTCCTTTCACCCCAGAGCTCCCCTTCCAACTAGCTGAGGTTTAAACTTCCAAGGGCTATCCATTCTTTTCCCTTTTATTTGCAAAGTACTGCCAGCTTAGTTTGTGGGATATTATGTATAAGGAAGTCAAATGCCCTTTTTTAGGTTCTCAAAAATTCAGATTTGCACAATACTAAATTGAATTCAATGCCAGGATAAGCAATTCAACCTACTTAATAAATTAGTCTTAGTTGTATAAGCCCTTGTCAGGAAAAATAGTAAGTTTAGAGCTCTAAATCCATTTTACCTCCATGTATACTTGTAATTTCATTTTTAGACCTATCAATGTCAAATCTATCTACAATCATTTGGAGTGATTATCTGATCTGAGGGTACAAAGTAATAGAGATTTTCAGGACTCCAATGCTGCACACTGCTCAAGCCATTTTCCATATTTTAAACCACTCAGTAATTTCAGACAAAATAAACACCATTTAAATATATCTAATTGACGCTATGCACCTAGTAACAAAATAACATAGATCTGTATGTGCTAATGTAGAATTATCTCCAAGATATCTTTTAAGAGAGGAAAGCAAGCCACAGAAATATAATCTGATTTGTATAAAGTTTTTAAAAGGTATATGTATGTGTTTATGTGTCATATCTATATATCTATATCTATCTATATACATAAATCTTTTCTGGAAGGACTAAAGAAACTTTCTAGTGGCCATCATTGAAAAGAAGTATGAGGGTAAAGGCACTTGTACTTTTCAATATTTTTATCATGTTCATTTATTATTTTCTCTTTATTTTAAAATAAATGTACCTCGTCATAATTCATGCTTCAATTACTTATTAAGTCCCTGATCACGACAAAATAAATCCTAAAGTATTACCTTATTAGATTCCTCAAGCTCTTGAACCAATGAATTTAAGTTAATTTCTGATTCTGAAAAATAAGAATATTGAAAGTAAATACCTAAGCATCTAAAAAAATATATCAATGAATAATCATGAAACATAAGCTGCTACAGCAGACACTTTAACTAGTGTTACATTTAGGAAAAAGAATTTTGACAGGACTAAAAGCACACAGCACTCAGCTGCTAATTCTATCACCAAGGGTAATGTTTCTGAAAAAGCCACTTTCAACACTCAGGGTAAAAATGAATGACATATGCTAAAAATAGCAAAAAAATTATGGCTTAACTTCAAAGAGAAGAAGCTAGTACCTTTCTGGTCCACTTCATAATGTAGAGGCACCACTTATTGCTATTTTCTACCCATCTTGTTTCATACAGAAAAGGGCAGAATATTTCATCTAACTCACTTAAAACCCAGATGTGACAAACAACCATATATTGCTCTCAGAGCAAGAATGAAGCACCAATCTAACGCCTGCTTAAGATCACTCCCCAGGAGTCACCTATCCCAAACTTGCAAGCTCATGGCAGAATGTACTAGACTATGAGAGTTCATAAACAATACAGAACAAAATTTCCAGCTCTACAATTTCCTGTGAAATTTCTTAATTTGCTGATAAAGCTAATTTGCTGATAAAGCTAGTTTGGTTTTTTTTGAGCAGTCCATTTTCCAATATTAGTTTAAAAGTAAATGAATGCAAAAAAACCTATTTTTAATAGTAAATTACTATATTGGGCCAGCCCCGTGGCTTAGCGGTTAAGTGAGCGTGCTCCGCTTCTGGTGGCCCGGGTTCAGATCCCGGGCGCGCAGCGACGCACTGCTTCTCTGGCCGTGCTGAGGCCGCGTCCCACATACAGCAACTAGAAGGACGTGCAGCTATGACATACAACTATCTACTGGGGCTTTAGGGGAAAAAATAAATAAATAAATAAAATTAAAAAAATAAATAGTAAATTACTACAAAACCATACAAATGGTAAAATATTAAATATGTTACCTAGATCAAAGAATTTTATGGTCACTACACTGCATAAATCTCTTATACTTACCAACCTTCTTTTATCCATTTATAACATAAACACAGGTAAAATACATCTACTTACCATTTTCTCTCTTTTTTAACTCTTCCTGGGTTTTGATTAATTCTTCTTTGGTTTTAGCTAATTCAGCTTTAACTTGATTAAACTTTAGTTCTAAACAAGCAATAGCTTCCTGGGGGTCAGCAAGAGATGCAATATATAAGTGAGCAATTTCAGCCTGTTTCTTAATATCAGTGACATCATCTTGAAGAGAATCAATAATATCTTCAATTCCTACATAAATATGTGCTTCCTAAAATAGTAAAAACCACATGTCTAATGTTAACAGTGGCTTTCACTCTTACGGTGTGGTACCATCTGATTTAGACAGTTTTAAAAACACATAGCAAAAAAATTCACAAACTGAAATATTTTTAAATAAACTATATCAAAGTATCTCCAACTATGGAAAAGTTGTGTTCCATTTGTCATTTTCTGTTTTATGAAACATGAGACATATTTCCCCATAAAAACAATGTCATAAACTGTGGTAAGTTATTATACAACAATTAGAACTATCTAGTTCAGGTATACTTTCAGTAATATTATAATGAGCCTTAAAAGGCTTTGTTGGGACAATCAAGCAAACAAACCTCCATTTTCACAACTCAGATCTAGACCCAAACCAGGTCAGGTACACCTAATGATAGTTCTACAGCAAGAGCCTGGATATCATCATCCCATGCCCCTGAATTGAGGAATTAAAAAACAAACAACAATCCCAAAAAGACGTGATCAATATTAGCTTCAGTGATAGCAGCAGGAAAGGATAATGTTTCTCAAGAGTAGAGAATGGTCAGTCAGCAAGGAAAAGCAATCCTTTTTATCTATAAACATTTTTGTTTTAATCAAAGCAGTAAGTAAATGACCCCCTAGGTCCCTTATACCTATAAACTTAAGTTTAAGACAAATCTGAGAGGGGTATCCCATAATCAGACAGGAAAGAATCTATCTACCTATAATCAATACAATGACTCAAGCAACACCAAAATGAGAGAGAGATATAACAGAGATAAAAATTTTTCCAAGTCCAAAAGCTATATTTAAATTATTTGTGCTTACATTCCTAACAAAGCATCCTTAATTGTAATAAAGCTACATAGTAAGTGTTTTTTAATTCTAAAGTATATCAATGTTTCTCATCATTGATGTGGAACACTAAACCCTGGTATCAACAACCTCACTGGATTTAATATTTCAGTTAACATACTTCGGTTTCAACTTTCATGGCACGATCTTCATTCATTGGTTCTTCCTGAGTCTCACATTTACCAACCAAATCCTTGAAGATAGCCAAACGACATTCAGCATTTTCTTCTATCATTTCTCGTTCCTGAAGGAGAGTTTCCCTTCATAACACAAATTAATCCCATTAAGAAACAGAAAAAGCACTATTTTATGTTTTTGTTTTAAATTTCTAAGATTAAGTATATTATAAATTCAAAGCATATTTAAATAATCATTCATGTATAATTCAGAATCCATGGGGATTAGTAACAGGTATTTTCAAGACTATATAAAGAAGAGGTCAGAATTCAGAAGCCACCTAAAATAAAATAAGTAAATAAAAAAAAATTCAATAATAAGTAAATAAAATTCTCAATTTTTATCAGGACATGAAAAAAATAACTTACTTAAAGTCAGCTTCACGTTGAGCGAAATATTGAGTAAACTCCTGTGTAACTTCTTCACGAATTTTAAATTCCAATGTTAACTTTTCTTTTCTTTCATGTATCAGTTTTCTTTTCAAGTCTTCTATTAAATCCAACAGTTTCTAAAACATATAAATATTAAAATTCTAATAAAAGAACAAATACATCCCAAGAGAAATATTATCCAAGTCTTCAAAAGTAAAATTCTTTTCATCTAGTCAATTATAATTATGCATCCTTTTAACAGCAATAATATTCTCACTGAAAATTATGCATTTACAGAGATTCATTAATCTGAAAAATCATTACATTTTAGAAACAGACTTATAGTAACTCAAATGTCTTGCTATTTAGCTACCACACTAAGAAAGAAAAAGAAAATGTGAGCATCTATTATTCAAGAGGAACTACTTTGTGGAATTTATATTTGATTTCATTCAATCCACACAACCTTCTGTGAGCTTGGTAGCAGCATCCCTATTTCGTGGGTGGGGAAAGTAAGGACCAGGTCTGTGGTAAATGTTTAAGGTTGAGCTTTAAATTAGTCTATCAAAATCTAAAGCCTAAGTGTTACATAGATTAATTACTAAGAACCTCAAACACTTTCCAAAATGATAAAGAGAGGTGTTACATAAACTTATCTTATTGGGCTTTTATAATCCAAATGTGAGCAACAACTCTATAGCCTTTGAAAACACATAATCACATAATATGGAAAATGAATAAAGCAATTAACACTTGATATGGTCAGTATAGATTCATAATAAAATAAATTATAGCATTAAGAAAACAACCTGATATTCTAAGGTTTCTGATTAAAGTTTCTCAATAATAAATTAACCAATAAACTCTCTCAAAGCTACAGATCTTTCAATGTCTCAATTTTATATCTGAAAATATTTCTATGCATATCCTGACTCTGAAATTCCACTTCTAAGAACTTACACTGAGAATATAATTATATAACAGGACCCAGTGTTTTGGCTATAAGAATGGTTATCACAGCATTGTTATTTTGTGGTAGTGGCTGTATCTAAATAAAGAAAAAGTAAAACTCAACTCAAAAGTCAAACATAAGAGACTGGTTCAATTATGGATCCATCTTATAGTAAACTACTGTAAGGAATAATGATGACAAATTAACAATACACACTTTTCATAATTTATTTTTAAATGAAGAAAATCAGTAATGTATAGTAAAAATCCATGGCAGATTATAGAGAGATCTTTATATTTAATTGTCTTCCTCCTTTTCTTTTTCCAGATTCCACCATGATTACACAATACTTTTATATTTTTAAACAACCACACACTTTCCCACTGTTTAAAACAATAAATAGTAACTACTGAACAAGAAATGTGGGAGACTTAAGAGAATTCTGCATGAATGTAGGAATACCTTGGGATATTGGTTTATTTTAATAATGCTCAACAACAATTAGTTTTCTATCATTGTTAGCATCTGATAAAGTCTTTGCTGAAAAAAATTCTAATTGATTATTCTAGCTAAATGAATTGTAAGTATAAACATGCTAATATCAATATATTTCATAATGATTTTTAATACTCCCAATCCTCCAATGCTAACATAAAGCATGCAAAGCCTAACCATTTTCATTTTTAAAAGTTAAATATTAGAAAAAACTTGGACAAACTTTTTATTTTAAAGTACCTAGTCAATGTTATAAGATACGCATTTACACTATGTAATACATTATAAACTGTAGTATTACTTTTCCTTAGTAAATTCAGAAATTTTACTAACATTTCACGTTTAATCAACATTATATGTAAACTTCAGCTTTGAGAAGATCAGTACAAAAATAGGACTGTTAATAGATTCTTCTGTCACTGATGGAATTACTACATTACAGAGACCCAAAGTAAACAAGATCCAATCACACACTGAGCAGATAAACTGGGACTCATAGCATCTGACACTTTCATTCTCATTTCCAAACAACACGGGTGCAACGATGGCTTTCACGGACTCTGAAGTAAATTATTAAAATGAGAATATTTAACCCAATATGTTATCCATCTACTTGGACTTCTACAGTCCAAAAGAGTACTATGATGTGAGATGAGTCCACACCATTAAAGCACACGCATGAGCACACAGTTACCAATGTTCTTAGAACACTGGTAAGAAGACTCCATGTATACATACGTAATTATGGCCAGTTAATGAGGGGAACTGGTATTGTGGACATTATTTAAATTTCAGGATTGATACAACTTAAACATACGTATGAACTGTATTTGGACAGAGGCTAAAAGATTTAACCACTGTAAAATCTTACTTATTTACCATAAAAATAAGACAACCAAGCAATTCTTGTTTTTGAAGAAACAGAATAATTGGTACTGGGAAGGCATTTTGAGCACTTGTACTTAAGACTGCAAAGTGAAAGTCTGGTGGAGTATAATAAAATCATTCGGTGAAAGGATACTGAGCAACAAGATATTCACATGGCCTCAATATATTTTTACAATGAAGAGAGATCTGAAAGACAATACCTTAACCAAGTGAGCAAAACTCAGCATCATCAACAACAGGGAAAGCAGACACCATGTGTCTCCTGATGCGATGCAATGGGAAATTCACAACTTCACCCAAATAAATACTAAGATTGCCTAAAGTGTTAAATCTGAATCATGAGGAAATAATCAGACAAAGCCAGACTGGGGTATTCTACAAGACAACTAGCCTCAACTTTTCAAAATATCTATGCTAGATGAGAGAGACCTAAAGAAACATAGCAATCAAAAGCAATGTGTTAACTCTGGTTGCAGATCAAAAACAAAGTGGTTATAAAGGACATATTGGGACCACTGGAGAAATCTCCATATGGACGGTATAACAGATTATATTATCGTATCAATGCTAAAGTGCTTAGGTATGAAAATTGTCTTGTGATTGATCATGAGGAAAATGTCCACATTCTTAGGAAATATATGCTGTAGTTAGCTGTAAGGTGTCATTATGTCTGCATCTTGTTTTCAAATGGTACAGGCAAAAAAAAATGTGTATTCACAAACTCATGGAGAATTAAAGTAAATACGGTAAAATATTAACAACTAGCAAATCCAGGTGAAGTGTAAATGGGTGTTCACTGTATTCTTCTTTCTGTAGCTTTGAAATTTTTCAAAATACTAAGTTAAGATATAAAAAATCTAGGGCAGCCCCATGGCTTAGCGGTTAAGTGCGCATGCTCCACTACTGGCGGCCCGGGTTCGGATCCCGGGCGCGCACCGATGCACCGCTTCTCCAGCCATGCTGAGGCCACGTCCCACATACAGCAACTAGAAGGATGTGCAACTATGACATACAACTGTCTACTGGGGCTTTGGGGAAAAAAGAGGAGGGGGATTGGCAATGGATGTTAGCTCAGAGCTGGTCTTCTCAGCAAAAAGAGGAGGATTGGCATGGATGTTAGCTCAGGGCTGATCTTCCTCACACACACAAAAAAAGATATAAAAAATCTAGTATATTGTTGAAAAAAATGGAAGAGAGGAAGCCTTAAGAATTGTTAACTCTAACTTAAGAATACTAATAAACCGAGCTTAGAAGTATGAGTTCTTAATACATACTCTCTTCTCCTCGTGGCCAATGAAAGCCTTATCTTCCTCTGTTTTATCTAGATGTTCATCAGCATGTTCAGTTTCCACATTTTGGTTTTCTTCAGCTTCTTCCAGATCCTCAACCAAATCTTCATCTTCCACTAGATCTTCTAGACCACTTTCCCATGAAATTGTGGCTCTTTTTACATTTAATATTTTATCATCTGAATTATTAACGTCTAGTGATACATCTTGAGAAGACTTGACAGGTCCAAATGATTTCTCTTGAGAGGAATTTAAAGCGTCTGGAACACAAACCTGTTAAAATATCCAATGTAATTTTAAAAACAGGAAAGGCAAGAACCGTCCACTAAAAAATGATCTTATAAATTTAAGTCAAAAGACAATTCAAGCCTTTTAAAAAAAATCCTATACAAACATACAAGAAGGAATTAGCATCCTTAAATGAACATTCTGATAAGAAAAAAGCTAATTACACATGTATACTTCAGGTTAAGTTCTTGGTACTATTCCTAGCAGGTGGCTTCCAGATTAGCCACTAAATGAAACGGATGGCAGAGCAGACAATTTGTTGCAAGAATGCTTGTAATCTGTAATGGGTGTTTATTATTAACACTTATTACTGAGATCAATTTAATCCTAGCAGGGGTAACTTTCATACTTTTCCCATGTCCTATTTGGCCAAATATTTACATTTTTAATTTTCAATTATTTCTTAGGTTTACAGTTATAAGTGCAAAATGAATTATCTACTCCAAGAAAAAAAACTGTTAATATTCTAATAATAAGAGGCTTAAGGAATATATTTACTTTTTGTGCAATGGCTGAGAACTTCAACACATTGAGTGTCTCATCATAGGCAAAACAACATTGGCTGATGTTGACAATCATACATATTTTCCCTTTACCATTAAAAAAACTTTGAAAATAGTGGGTCAGTTTACTTTCCCGGAAAGGCACATGCTGTTGAAACCTATGGAAAAAATTTTAGGTTAAAACAAATCTCAGTAAGTCAGAATGCTGATAAATTTTACAAAGAAATAATTAATCTAGCTATCATGGACTTAAATTCTAGGTTAGTGATTAGTTCCACCTGAAACAGTCATTTTCTATTAATATAGTTTTCTTTAAATACTACTACTGCTAATAATAATACTAACAATAACCCACTAGGCAAAATGTAAAGAAAATCACATTGAACTGGGTTGTGTTCTCTAGTGTAAAGCAATTATAAAATGTGCCATGAAGCACCTTAACTAGAAATAATGAAGGCTGATTTATAATTTACTCAGCCTAAAATGCTAATTAACATGGAAACCTATCACATCTAGAAGAATACAATGCATTAGTAAGAATAAACTGGTTTTAGATGCTACACAGCATCACGAGAAAGTTATTATCTACAGTGTCTGTTGATATATATTTGCTATGGAAAATATTGTGCTTACTTGACGAGTCACTCGCATCAATGACATTGTTTTTTATTTCTATCATTTTTTTTAATCCAAGATCTCTTAACTATTTAACCATAATCCACGCATAGTCATTACATAAGCAGGTTAAAAACAAAAAAGAACTAAAACTAGCAAAGTTGGAAGTTTAAATATTTTAATACTTGATATGCTAATAACACTTTCAGTAACACTTACTTTGACTTTTCACTGTTCTTCAAAACATTAATACACTTTCCCAGAGTCAATAAAGAAGTGTTGATGTTCCCAGTCTCTCTTAACCTTTCACCTTCATTCTGTGTCTTCATGCTTCGTTCTGAACCAGCAAGATCACACAAAGACAATCTGAATTAACCAAAAATAAAAAAATAAAAAAACTTAAAAAGTGCTTCAAAACAAAACAATTCAAAATAATTACAATTTAAGGAATGCTTAACTTACTCACTGACTCGCATTACACGAGGTATTTCAGAATCTTCAATCTGTAATATTCTAATAGTGAATATGCTGTGACTAAAAGAAATATACAAAGATTATATGTTATCTTTCATTTTTAATTTCTGCAATCTAAATAGGAGACACATCTAAATCAACATCTATTTAGATCCTAATACTGGCCATAGCTCCAGCACTGCATTTTCCAACTAGCTGCCAGATATTACTTTTTTTTTTTTATTTGGTGAGAAAGATTAGCCCTGAGCTAACATCTGTTGCCAATCCTCCTCTTTTTGCTGAGGAAGATAAGCCCTGGGCTAACATCTGTGCCCATCTTCCTCCACTTTCTATGTGGGACGCCTGCCAGAGCATGACCTGATAAGCAGTGTATAGGTCCGCGCCTGGGATCTGAACCTGCGAATCCTGGTCCGCCAAAGCAGAGTGCACGCACTTAATCACTATACCACCGAGCTGGCCCCTAGCTGCCAGATATTTCAATTCAGTGCTCCACTGTCACCTACACACCCGACTGCCTAAAACCAAATATCTTATCTTCCACTTAGTCCAAAATCCCTCAAATCTATTCCTTCGCTTAACATTCCAACTTCTATTAATGGAATCACTTATAATAAAGTCTCAAATTGCTTGCAAAGATCATATTATTAGTTAAAATGGTATTATGTACAGCTAATCTTCTTTGAATATATACCTAAAGCAAAGAATACATTTGGCCTAGATACAGGCTTATCTAGATCATATAATTTCCTCATACCATAGAGTATAGAGGACAGGGCTCTTTCTCCATTAAGAGAAACCCTGTTTTAAGTATCTCACCACTGGGGCCAGCCCTGTGGCATAGCAGTTAAGTGCACGCGCTCCACTGCTGGCAGCCCGGGTTCGGTTCCCAGGCACCCACCGACACACCATTTGTCAGGCCATGCTGTGGCAGCGTCCCACATAAAGTGGAGGAGAGATGGGCACGAATGTTAGCTCAGGGCCAGTCTTCCTCAGCAAAAAGAGGAGGATTGGCATGGATGTTAGCTCAGGGCTGATCTTCCTCACTAAATAAATAAATATCTCACTGTTTAAACTTATTTCCTTTTGTGTCTCATCCCGTTCAATCCCTTCCATCAAAAACATCCTTCCTTAGCCCCTTGAGATCTTGTCATAACTCAGTATGCACCTAGTGTCTGTGTTCATGGGGTAAGTGGGAAAGACAGAGAAAAATCTACCATCACAGGCAACTCGGAAAATATTGAGCTTATATACGCACATAAACAAAGAGTAAAAATACGTCAGAGACTTCATGCAAACTAGCAAATCTGGTCGGCCCCGTGGCTTAGTGGTTAAGTGAGCGCGCTCCACTGCTGGCGACCCGGGTTCGGATCCCGGGCTCGCACCGACGCGCTGCTTCTCCGGCCATGCTGAGGCCGCGTCCCACATACAGCAACTAGAAGGAGGTGCAGCTATGACACACAACTATCTACTGGGGCTTTGGGGGGAAAAATAAATAAAAAAAAATAAAATCTTTAAAAAAAAAACTAGCAAATCTTACGTTAGAATAAGAAATAGTCCTGATAATCTCATGAGTTCAGTGCTCTTCATTTTACAGAATGTTTTTATGCCTATGAATGAATTCCTTTAACATATCAGAGAACCTACTGCCCACTTTAATCTAAATTAGTTGTATTTAAATTAGCACAGAATACCCTGGGTGCTTCAGGCTTACACCATAGGGTTACTCCTTACCTTCTACTGGAAGCATTGTTCAGTTTTGTGAAGGCGACACTCTGGTGCTTTATTCCTAGTTTTAAAAGTCTATACGCTTCTTTGGAATCAGATACTTGAATCCATTGTAAATCTTTAAATAAAAAATAAAGAGGACATATATCTATTTATAAAAACACAGCATTTCTTGTGCAATGTAATCTCTTTGAAGATGTGTAATCTCTTTTCCCAAAGACATATAATGAACCTTTCTTTTTATATATATTATATATATTTATATATAAAATATATATATTTGGGGCCAGCCCGGAGGTGCAAGCGGTTAAGTGCACGTGCTCCGCTGCGGCAGCCCGGGGTTCGCTGGTTCGGATCCCGGGCGCGCACCAATACACTGCTTGGCAAGCCATGCTGTGGCGGCGTCCCATATAAAGTGGAGGAAGATGGGCACAGATGTTAGCCCAGGGCCGTCTTCCTCAGCAAAAAAAGAGGAGGATTGGCAGATGTTAGCACAGGGCTGATCTCCTCACAAAAAAAAAAAAAAATATATATATATATATATATTTATAAAATATATATAATCTTTCCACGTTCCTAGTGGAATCAACTCAGCTATTCCGTATTTCACTAGAAAAGAGGTATACAAGAGGATATTATAATGGTTTTCCAGTATTTAAGTTTTATACAAACACACAAAGTTAGTGTTCTTCAACAGAGTCTGCCAAAGAGAAAATTAAAAATAGGTAAGATTCCTTAGAGTTAGACATCCAGAAGAAAAAAAGAAAAAGACAAAATACAGTACAGATTAAACTTACAAAATTACCTAGCTGTGAGACATTACAGATTGCAATTCATTAGTGAATCATGAGATCAAATTCATTGAGTCATAACCAGCACTTTGTAGAAATGATGTAGACTACAGAAAACATCAACATGCATTCCCTACAGTAAAGTTAAGCATAATTAATGAAACTTTGAGTTGTACACATCCATGTATACACAGGCAGGTACTGGGTCATGATGTTATTAATATGTATGTATCTCCTACTCTGAGTAGCAGTTTCAAAAGGTTGGAAAAACACCACTGTGGACGAACAGAAACAATTCCATAGCTCCAAAGTTGGGACACTGTTACAAGGCAGCAGAATAATGTGAATATTAACACACACAGCTTTTCCCATCCCCAAAAATCCAATGAGCAATACTCAAGCAAACACAATACTAACCTACCCCTTAATATTCAGGTTTAATTAACATACTAAAACATACTTCCAAAGCACAAACTTTTCCTATCTTGATGTTAACAATTAATATAAAACTTTTCAATTTCCAGTTTGCCTTCCTATAGCCATAACAAGGCCGAGAAAGGAACTTGAGAACAATAAAATAAAAAATACTCATTAGTATACCTTTTATAAAAGAATAGCCCTTTATATCCTGGGAAAGGCGTAGTATCTTTCTCTTTTGGAACTTAGATGACACAGGAACAAACAAGTCATAAATACATTCATTGTAAATCTCAAAGAAAGAAACCCACACAGAAAATTTTATATTATTATCCATATTCAAGCTAGCTTGTTCACAATCTTTCATGGATTCTTCAAACTCTGGGATATTCAAAGAATTTGTTAAACTTCCTACAAAAAATGAAAACGGATAATCAAAATTAAGCAATTGACTAAAAATGAGACAACAGTACAGAACAAGACTACTGGACTTGAAAAACCAAATATCCTTAAATCTTTTGACCAAAAATGTTATACACTTTTTGGATCAAAGCAGAGTAAGTAATATTTGTATTAACCAAAGTTTGGCTGCTTCTTATCTTTCTTTTCTTTTTGAAACTATGCTCAGGAACCAAATTGAAAGTAAATGTGAAGGACAAAGAAAAACTGTCTCTCTCTTGAATTCAACATGCAAGTTACAACTAGTGAAACGGATATCTGTGATAGTACCTTACAGTGACTGACAATTCACATAGTTATGTACAATTTACCAAGTATTACTGACTATATGATTAAAGAAATTAAATCACTAGGAGTCATTCAAAAATTAAAAGCTTTATGTTAGCCCAGGGCCAATCCTCCTTAGCAAAAAGAGGAGGATTGGCATTGGATGTTAGCTCAGGGCTAAAATAAAGTAAATAAATAAATAAAAGCTTTTCATTGTATTTCATATAACCAACATTTTAAAGCTAAGAGAAAAAGGAAACCTTACCATAAAGAGTATCACAACTGTCATTATGCATAACCACCTAAAAAAGAAAGATGTTTTTAATCTTTATCTTTAATAAAAATCTTTCATCTTTAATAAAAACCATTGTTAAATAACCAGTAGATTATCTATCCAAATAAGTCATCAACCAAACCACAACCTTTCATCAACTCAACTCAATGACCTCCTCTATTAATTTTTTTTCCTAGTTAAATAAAACATTCTCATAATAGGAAATTTGGGAAACTACAGAAGATTATTAAAAAGAATATCATTATACATAATCCCTGCCACTCAGAGGCAATTACTATTAATATTTCAATATATTCCCTTCTATTCTTTTCCCCACTTATTACACTGTAAGCTTTTCTCTCTATAATTAAAAATTATTTGTAAACATTTGGTGGCTGCATAACTGAATAGATGTGAAATGAATTAATTATTCCCCCATTATTGAGCATTTATATTTCTTGCAAAGTTTTGTTGGTAAAAATAACACTAAGATAAACATATTAATATATTATTTTTTCTTCTGCATTCTAATTATTTCCTTAGGATATATACCTAAATCTGAACTGGTGGATGAAAACATAAAAATTTTTTAAGTTCTCACTCTTAATATAATACTGCCAAATTGCTTTCTAGAAACTTCTATAAACAATATATGAAAATGTGTATCTTATTTTTTTAACATTAATAATTTCATAGGCAAAATAATATTTTGTTTTAACTGGATAACTTGTTAGGGAAAAATTTTTTCATTATCAATGACTTTAATTTCCTTTATGAATTATATATGCAATTATCCACCAATCTCCATAATTTTTGTTTAAAATACTATTTTACTTTCAGAAACCATGTCATGGACTCTGAACTTTGAACTCCACTGAGTAACAACTTTTTATTACCTTGAAACACTGATTTCTAAATGTCTTAAAAAAGAAAACCCCATCAATATTTTGAAAATACTTATAAAAACTGTTAATAGTTTTTAACAATCTCGAATAGGATAAATGCCTGAAAACATAACACAAAATCCAGACAGCACAGGAGGAATAAATAAACAACTTCTTTTTTTTTTTTTTTTTTAAGATTTTTTTTATTTTTTTTTTCCCCCCAAAGCCCCAGTAGATAGTTGTATGTCATAGCTGCACATCCTTCTAGTTGCTGTATGTGGGACGTGGCCTCAGCATGGCCGGAGAAGCGGTGCGTCGGTGCGCACCCAGGATCCGAACCCGGGCCGCCAGCAGCGGAGCGCATGCACTCAACCGCTAAGCCACGGGGCCGGCCCGGCAAGTATAACTTTTAAAAAAAAAAAACTTATTCATGAAAAAACTAATTAAAAAAAAGAAAAAGAGGTAAACACATAACTTAACAGATAACAGACGTGTATTAAGGTAGTAAGAGATTTAAGAGATGTTAAATGAAAGAGTAACTTACAGAACATATGTATATTAAAATCTCATTTTAAAAAAAAAGACTATATCCTACATACAAGGAAAAAGATATGAAGATATATGCAACCATATACATGACTGTGTTTGTATGTGTATATACAGACATATATAGAAAACTCTGTATATAGATTTTGTACCAAGAGAAAAAAATTAAAAAGAAGACCTTCCAATATGTCAATGGTGGTTTTCTCTTCAGGAATGGAATTATAACAAATTTCCACTTTTTATTTTTCACATTCCCTTGTTTAGGTTTTGTGTATACGTATCACTTGCACAATTAAAAAAAGAATTTTTCAAAATCATCACACAAAAAATACAATGCTGCTTCTACAACCACCAAAAAAGATTTCATAACTATTTACATTTGTGATGTTTAAACATTTCTGCTATTTGTACAATATAAAATGAGAAGAGAAGTCTCCAAACAAGCTTTTAATATATTAGTTTTCTCAAAAAAAGAAGACAATCACCACCACGACCACAAAACAGTCCAATATATGCTGAAACAAAGAGCTTATGAAAGGTCATGATTTATATATATTTTACATACTAAAATATTTCATACCTCTTTAATTTGCCGAAGCAATGCACTTTTGCTAGCAATTTCTTCTTTCTCTTGGTCTGGTGATAACCGTAAGTATTCTCTGGATCTATGTGGTTTAAGGTTCATCTTGGTATATAGTCTTTTCTGAAGACTATCAAATAACACATTCAAAGTTCGAGGCAGAATGCCAACATTTTCTTCTGTGCCTGTGAAGAGAATTTTTGTTTTATACTCTCAGAATATTAGGAAAGCGGAAACATTCCTGGACTATCAAGGGTCCTTTTATATTACCAATAGACAAGAGTAAACAGCTAAGACAAAAGTGAGAGAAGTTGAAGGATTACTCAGTTTTCCATCACTTTGGTCTTCATTGTATAACCGACATATTATCAACTATTATTATGAGGCAAAACCTGAAATTTTATATTCAGATCAGGCCATAAGATTTGCAATCACTTATAATCACAAAGTATAACAGTAAAATGAAATATAAAGTGTTTCCCTGGTTACCCATGCTTAATTCACCATGTCACATCAATCCTTTGCTGAACTTTCATTATCATTTAATTCTCTATTACATGGGTAGTTTCACAAATTAATCAAATCAATCTGAATTAAAAGCCATCAGCAATACACATTCAATACACTATTACTATTAAAAATGGAACAAGTGTACTAGGTAATGAAAACATAACTACATGCAAGTATTATGAAAATGAGTGAATATTAGTAAACATAATTACATGCAAGTATTATGAAAATGAGTGAATATTAGTGCTTTTTTCCATTCCAGCAAAAATAAAATAATTTACCTTGAAATGTATATGTTTTTCCTGAATTGGTTAGCCCATAAGTAAAAATTAGCCGACTTTGTCCTTTCAACAGGTCTTTTACTGGCTGCATAATGCAATCCTGGAAGAATTCTTTCTGTGTAGTTTTTGGGCCAAAAACCTAAATAAGAATTTTTTAAAACAAGTTTTTTTAGAAAATTCAAGTCAATATTCACAATGAGTTCCACCCTATCTCTCATGTTTTAAAAAGTAAAAACATTTGTTTTCTAAGATTCATTCTTCAAATAGGAGCCATAGCCCTGATTCCCACAATATACTTAATAGTGTAACTACTGTCAGAAAGTCTTCAAGATAGATATCTGACCCAGCCAATCAAGTTTTCATCTAAAATTTGAAAAGAATATTTCTTAAAAAAAAAGTTTTAAGAACTACACAGTGATTTATTCATCTCCAATTATATATTTACAGATCTGAAATTTGAGTCCTACCCTTGAGAAAAAAATACCAGTGCCTAAGATCTAAGTTCCATAAGCACAAGATGTATATACAGTTCATTATATACAATTATGTAGCAATTTAGCCTAAGCCAAGTCTCTTTTTCTTAAAAGGAAAATCTTCAGTTTCACAGGGCTACTTACTTTGGAAAAACTGAATTTCTGTGCCATCTGTGCAGAGCTTTTCTCACTTAACCGACCAAGGATGCTTTGAGGATCTTTCAGCAGAACAGTCTGTGAGTCCAGAATATACACACAGCCCTAGAGCACACAAATAAACAAATAAAAATAAACCCACAATAAATAAATAAAAGCAATGGTATTGTCTCCATGTAATGGAAGTAAAATATTAAATCCCAATTAGATTCAACACAAACCTCAGACTCACGTTCTTTTTCTGACTGTGTGAATGGTCTTATTCGAAGACAAACCTGGAGATAATCTTTGGATTCCAAACTGTTTGCCTTAAAAAGAAGAAGAAAATAACTGTATTTAAAAAATACAAAATACAGTTTTTCAGAGATCATCTTTTTTTAAAGTGGCTGATTGTTACATAACCTGAGATTATACAGAACCTCTAACCAAACAGTGAGTCTTCTATTTTTAACCATTTTATATGTTTAAAGAAAAACAAATCTATTTTTAAAAAAACAAAATATACCACAAAAGATTCAATTTCCTCTACCTTCTATATTTATACTTGAAGTTTACAATATGCCTTTTTGTCATTAAATCCTAATCTTTAAAATTAATACAAATAGAGCCTGCCCTGACAGCCTAGCAGTTAAAGTTTGGCACACTCTGCTTCAGCAGTCCGGGTTCGGTTCCCAGGCGTGGAACCACACCACTTGTCTGTCAGTAGCCATGCTGTGGCAGCGGCTCACATACAAGAACCAGAAGAACTTACAACTATACACAACTATGTACTGGGGCTTTGCATGGGGGGGAAGGAAGGAAAAAGGAAGAAGATTGACAACAGATGTTAGCTTAGGGAGAATCTTCCCCTGGGGGGAAAAAAAAAGAACTAATACAAATAACAAGGCTCTAAGTCACTAAAACACAGAACATACTAGAATAAATCACAAATAACCAGAATAGTCTACTAATCCAAATACTCAATTCAATCACACATTTAGAATTTTTTTGCTGCTTCTTTGGGGAAGAAATGAGCTTAGTCCATTTTTTTTAAATAATTTTAAAGAAATGTTTTAAATTTTTTTAAAAAGTAAAAAGGAAACAATTACTTGAAAAACACAACTTACCAAAAAAGACACAAGAACTAGAAAATCTGAATAATCCTCTATCTATTAGGGAAATTCAACTTTCATTCAAACAATTAATCCCACACACAAAAAAAATTAATCCAAGCCCTGGTAATTCATTGGTCTCTCTCTCAAACATTAAAAGATATAATCATACAAGTCACAGATTAACTCTTTAAAATTAGAAAGAGAGAACACTTCTCAACTAATTTTGAGTTTGACATAACCTTGACACCACAACCTGAGAGAGATACCCTCAGAAAAAATTACAAAATATGCCTAATAGATAGATGCAAAAATTTCCTAACAAAAATTTTAGCCAATATATAAAATAGGATCATACATCCTGACCAAAAAATGTTTATTCCAGGAGTGCAAGGTCAATTCAGCACTCAAAAATCAATTAGGGTAATTAACTACATTAAAAGAATAAATGAGAAGAAACTTTTATCTCTAATAGATGTAAAAAAAGTATTTGACTGATGACATGCATATTCAAGATCCGTTCATAAGAATTCTTGGCAAACTTGAATAAAATGGAACTTCCTTAACCTGTTAAGGGCATTTACAAAAAACCTACAGCTAACATCATACTTAATGGTGAGAGGCTAAATCTAAAATGAATAACAAGACAGGAATTTCTGCTCTCACTACTTCTGTACTATACTACAAGTTCTAAACAATGTAATCAGGCAAAAAAAAAAAAAAAAGAAAGAAAAGAAAAAAATAAAAGATATCCAGATTGGGAAGGAAGAAATAAAATTGCCTTTATTCACAGACAACATGAACATCTACATAGAAAAATCCAAAAGAATCTACAAAAAAGTTACTAGAACTTTTAAATGAGTTTAGCAATGTAGCATGATACAAGATCAATATGCAAAATCAATTATTTTCCTATATACTGGGAAGAAACAGCCAGAAACTGATTTTAAAAAGCAATACCATTTGCAATAGCATCAAAAATTATGAAATATCTAGGGATAAATCTTACAAAAGATGTAAAAGACCTATACACTGAAAACTACAAAACACTGCTCAGAAAAATTAAAGGGGCTCAAAATAAATGGTGATACACCTTGTTCATCATTTGATAGACTCAATATTGTGAAGATGTCAATTCTTCGAAAACTGATCTACAGATTCAATGCAGTTAGAATCAAAATCCCAGGAGGCTTTTTTTTGTTGCAATTGATAAGCTCATTTAAAAATTCACATATAAATGCAAAGTACCTAGAACAGTCAAAACAATTCCAAAAAAGAAGAAATTTCGTGGACAAACACTACCTGATTTCAACACTTACTTTAAAGCTACAGTAATCAAAACTGTGGGGTACTGGCAGAAAGACAAATAGATAGGAAAACAGACCAGAATATTCACAAATAAACGTCTACATATAAGGACATCTGATTTATGACAAAGGTGCAAAGGAAATGCAGTACAGAAAGGACAGCTTTTTCAACAAATTGTGCTAGAACAATTGGATATCTATATGCAAAAAAAAGAAGAATTTGGATACACATCTCACATTGCATATAAAAAGTAATTCAAAACGGATCACAGACCTAAATGTAAAACTAAAACTATAAAACTTCTAAAAGAAAACATAGAATAAAATCTTTGTGGCCTTGAGTTAGGCAAAGATTCCTTATATGACACCAAAAGCACAATCCATAATAGAACAAATTGATTTAATGGACTTCATCAAAATTAAAAACTTCTCTTCAAAAAACACTGTTAAGGGATGAAAAGACAAGCTATAGATCGGGAGAAAATATTTGCAAAGGATATAGCTGATAAACAGATGTATCTGGAAAAACTATAAGGAACACTTAAAATAACAAGAAAACAACCCAATTTTTTTTAAATGGGCAAAAGATTTAAATTGACACTTCACCAAAGAAGATACACAAATGGCAAATATGCACATGAAAACATATTCAACATCTTTAGTCATTAGGTAAATAAAAATACCAATTTGATACCAACACATACCTATTAGAATGGCTAAAATAAAACTATGCAGACTAGCCAATATAAAATTGAAAGAGAAGAACAAAGTTGGAGGACTGACAATCCAACTTCAAGACATACTATAAAGAAAGTGTAGTATTGGCAAAAGAAAAGAATCCATCAATGGAACAGAAGAGAGAGCCCAGAAGTGGATCCACATGAATACAGTCAACAGACCTTTGACAAGAAGCAAAGGCATTCAACGGAGCAAAGACAGTCTTTTCAACAAATGGTGCTGGAACAACTGGACATCCACATGCAAAAGAATTCATCTAGACACAGACCTTATTAAACACAAAAATTAACTCAAAATGGATACAAATCTAAATGTAAAATGCAAAACTATTAAACTCCTAGAAAATCTAGATGACCCTGGCTTTGGCAATGACTTCTTAGATTCAACACAGAAAGCATGATCTGTGAAAGAAATAATTGATAAGCTGGACCTCATTAACATTAAAAATTTCTGCTCTGGGGGCCGGCCCGGTGGCGCAAGCGGTTAAGTGTGCGCGCTCCACTGCGGCGGCCCGGGGTTCGCTGGTTCAGATCCCGGGCGCGCACCGACGCACTGCTTGGTAAGCCATGCTGTGGCGGCGTCCCATATAAAGTGGAGGAAGATAGGCACAGATGTTAGCCCAGGGCCGTCTTCCTCAGCAAAAAGAAAAGAGAAGGCTTGGCGGATGTTAGCTCAGGGCTGATCTCCTCACAAAAAAAAAAAAAAAATTTCTGCTCTGTAAAAGACACTGTCAAGAGAATGAAAAGATAAGCCACAGACTGGGAGAAAATAGGTGGAAAAGACATATCAAATAAAGGACTTTTATCCAAAATATACAAAGAACTCCTAAAACTCAACAATAAGAATATAAACAACCTGATTAAAAAGATGGGCCAAAGACCTTAACAGACACCTCACCAAAGAAAATATACAGATGGCAAATAAGTATATGAAAAGATGCTCCACATCATGTCATCAAGGAAATGCAAATTAAAACAACGAGATACCACTACACACCTATCAGAATGGCCAAAATCTGGAACACTGACACCAAATGCTGGCAAGGATGTGGAGAGCAATAAGAACTCTCATTCACTGCTGGTGGGAATGCAAAACGGTACAGCCACTTTGGAAAACAATTTAGCAGTTTCTTACAAAACTAAACATAATCTTGCCATATGATCCAGCAATTGTGCTCCTTGGTATTTACCCAAAAAAACTGAAAAGTTATGTCCACACAAAAACCTGCACACAGATGTTTATTGCAGCTTTATTCACAATTGCCAAAACCTGGAAACAATCAAGATATCCTTCAGTAGGTGAATGGATAAATAAACTGTAGTACATCCAGACAATGGAATATATTCGGTTCTAAAAAGAAATGAACTATCAAGCCATGAAAAGACATGGAAGAACCTTAAATGCACATTACTAAGTGAAAGAAGCCAATCTGAAAAGGCTACAAACTGTATGATTCCAACTATGGGACATTCTGGAAAAGGCAAAACTATGGAGACAGTTAAAAAAATCAGTGGTTGGTGGGGGCGGGGAAGGGATGAACAGGTGGGGCATAGAGGATTTTTAGAGTAGTGAAAATACTCTGTACAATACCATAATAGTGGATACATATCATTATACATTTGTCCAAACTCACAGAATGTACAACACCAAGAGCTAACTGTAATGTAAACTATGGACTCTGGGTGATAATGATGTGTCAACGTAGGTTTATCAACTGTAACAAATGTACCACTCTAGTGGGGGATGCTGATAATGGGGGAAGCTATGCATGTGTAGGGGTAGAGGATATATGAGAAATCTCTGTACCTTCTGCTCAATTTTGCTGTGAACATAAAACTGCTCTAAAAAATAAAGTCTAGAGGCCGACCCAGTGGTGTAGGGGTTGGGTTCACATGCTCCGCTTCAGCAGCCCGGAGTTCACAGGTTCAGATCCCGGGTGCGGACCAACACACCAGTCGTCAAGCCACGCTGTGGTGGCATCCCATAGAAAGTGGAGGAAAATGGGCATGGATGTTAGCCCAGGGCCAATCTTCCTTGGCAAAAAGAGGAGGATTGGCATCAGATGTTAGCTCAGGGCTGATCTTCCTCACAAAAGAAAAAAAAAAAAAGAGGAGGATTGGCATTGGATGTTAGCTCAGGGCTAATCTTCTTCACAAAGAAAACAAATAAATAAGAACTCTCAAACACTGCTGCTGGAAATGTAAAATGCTATTACCACTTTGGAAAAGTTTGGTAGTTTCTTAAAAACGACCCAGCCATTCCATCCCTAGGTATTTATCCAAGAAAAAAAAAAGGAAATATATGTCCAGAAAAAGCTCTGTATACAAATGTTTCTAGAAGCTTTGTTTGAAATAGCCAAAAACTATAACACAAATGTCCATCAGCAAGTGAATGGATAAACAAATTGTGGCATACCCAAACAATGAACAATAAAAAGGAATGACCTATGGATACACACAACATGCATGAAACTCAAAATAATTACACTTAGCAAATGAGACCAGATCCCCTCACCAAAAAAGAGTACATACTTTATGATTCCATTTATATAAAACTCCATCCAGACAGTGCAAACTAATGTATACTAACAGAATCCTGACCAGTGGTTACTTGGAGGTGTGATGGGAGGGTGGGGTTACAAGGAGGCACAAGAAAACTTTTAGTGGTGATAGAGATATTCACTATCTTGATTGTAGTGATGGTGTCATGAGTATATACATATGTCAAAACTTGTCAAAGTCTATACTTCAAATATGTGCAGTTTATGGTATCTTAATACTTCAAAAAAGCCGTTAAAAATATAACTTACAATAGTATCAAATACCATGAAATGTGTACGAACATATTTAACAAGACATAAAAGGCCTCTACATTGAGAAGTACAAAACACTGTTAAGACTTTAAAGACCTATATAAATGGAGAAATATACCATGTTCATGGATTAAAACACTCAACATTATTAAAAAGACAATTCTCTCCAAATTGATTCATAGATTTAATGCAATCCCAGCCAAAAGTCCCAATAGGCTATTTTGCAGAAACTGGTTAAGTCATTTCCAAAATTTACAAATACACAAAAAACCTAGAAAAGCCAAAATATTCCTAAAAAAGAAAAGTTGGAGAATTCACACTACCTGATTTCAAGAATTTTAGCTAAAAAAACAGACAGTGAGGTATAGGCATAAGGACAGACAAATAGGTCAATGGAAGAGAATAATCCAGAAACAGATCTACACATAGATACACAGTCATGTGACTGTCAATAAAGGTACCAAAATAATTTCAATGGGGAAAAGAAAGTCTCTTCAATACATAATGCTGAAATAATTAGATACGGAGGTTAAAAAAAAAAAAAGCTGGACCCCTACATCAACTATACACAAAAACTAATTCAAGATGGATAACAAATATAACCATTAAAATGAAAGCTATAACTGTTTCTATAATTTTATTTATTTATTTTTTCCCCCAAAGCCCCAGTAGATAGTTGTATGTCATAGTTGC